GGTTTGTGATTTTTATCTTAATCGTTTTAATAGAAATGAGTAGCAATAACACTTAGACTTATATACCGCTTCATTGTTCTTTACAGCACTCTCTAAACCAATGTGGGTGAACCTTTTTGGTACCGAGTCCTGAAACAGGAGCAAACTCACACACACCGGGGGGGGGGGCAGAAACGAGAAGAGCAATTCCCCGGCACACATGTGCATGCCGGGAAGCTGAACTTCTGCTTTCTGGCACACACATGCGCACCGGTCACCTGGTCTTCTGGTTTCTGGCACACATGCATGTGTGAAAACCAGAAGCTCAGCTTCCCAGCATGCACATGCGTGCCTGAGAGCTGCTCTTCTGGTTTCTGGTGCTCCCATGCGCGCCGGAACTCGGAAGAGCAACAGGCGATGGCTGGCATGCCCAGAAAGATGGCTCTGTGTGCCACTTTTGGCACACGTGCCATAGGTTCACCATCACGGGTATAAGGCAATGGAGGGAAAATCAAGTTGCAGAGTTGGAGGTATTAAGTTGCAAGGACCATATCAGAACTGTTGGAGGAAAGATCCTTCCACACACAAATATATATAAAGTTCTACCAGGCATCACCACCAAGTTATTGTACTATATGGGCCAGTACATGAGCACAATTTGGAAGGGCACTAGAAACAACACCAGAGACTAAAATGCCAGTTGCTCATAAACAGAGAAGTTGCCCAAGACTAAAGGTCTAGACCAGGGGTGTCAAACTCGCATCATCACGGCGTCACATGATGTATTGGACTTTCCCCCCTTTGCTAAACTGGGTGGGGGTGGAACCATCACATGACACATCTGGCCCACAGGACACGAGTTTGACACCCCTGGTCTAGACAGACCAATTTGAGCACAGCCTGGATTGACTACAGGAAAGCTTACGACTCAATGCCACACACATGGATTTACGAAAGCTCAGAAGTATAAAAAGTCAACAGGACACTAAGAGCCTTCCTCAAGAGCTCAATGTGACTGTGGAAAACAACACTGGAAGTCAACTCAAAATAGGTCACACAAGTAGCCATCAAGTGCAACATATGCCACAGTGATACACTATCCCCACTGCTGTTCTCAGCCAGATAATCACAAGGATTAGATATGGATACAAATTCAAGAGTGATAAAACTACTGTATCAGCCACTTCTTGTACATGGTTGACATCTAGTTGTAGACTAAAAATGAATGAGACATCAACTTGTTATTCAGACTAAAGGGTGGGGAGATGATGGTCAACAGAGGGAAAGTAATTAAGATTGATGGGGTGGAATTACCAATAGCCCACATAGCGGGCGCACAGACCAGTTACAAGTACCTTGGTATCCCATAGTCATATGGGAATCATGATAAGGAGGCAAGGAAGAAAAAGAGTTATGCAATTAATGTGTGATCTGCCACTCATCATGTACCATGCCAGTATAATGAGCTGGTCAAAGAAGGACACAGAAGCTGCCGAAGCTCCTCATTATGTATGGAGGTTTTCACCTCAAGGCCAACACCCAGAGACTATACACTACCTAAAAAGAAGGTGGTTGTGGTGTAGTAAGTGTCAAAGCCATTGTCCTGGATGAAACTCAGAGCGCCCAAGAATACATCATTAAGATGGCACCCAAACAAGCTGCTGAGAGAATGTTTGAGGCAAAAGCAGACATGGGAAGAAAATCAAGCAGTGCTATGGCAAGACAAGATCCTGTATGGAATGTGCCATTGACAGATAGCTGAGGTGGCAGATATTGGGAAATCCTGGGTGGAAAGAGCTGAACTAAAAGAGCACTGAGGCACTGGTCATAGCAACACAAGTATAGCCATTAAGCACCAGATTCATACAGTAGACTCATGGATCTACCACACTAGACAAGATCCAAGCTGCAGACTATGCAGAGGCAGTCCAACACATAGTGGCAAGGTGTAAGATGCAGGCAGGAATAGCATACACAATGGCACAACCAAGTAGCTGGCGTTGCATACAGAAACATCAGCACAGAATATGTGCTAGACTGTCCTAAGTCCAGATGGGAGATCCCACAGAAGATCATGGAGATTAAGAAAGCTAAGATACTGTGGGACTTCCAGACCCACACAGAAAAGCAGGTACTAGTCAATCAACCAAATAGTAGATAAGGACCAAAGATAGCAGTGGTGATGGATGCAGCAGTGCCAAGTAACAGCAACATCAGGAAGAAAGAGTGTGAGGAGCTGGAGAAGTACCAGAGCCTGAAGGAGGAACTGAAGAGGATGTGGAAAGCAAAGGCCAAAGTGATCCCAGTAGTGGTAGCAGCATTTTGGGGCTGGGACTCCTAAGATGGGAGAGTAGCTCCAACTGATCCCAGGAACAATATCAGACCTCTGAGTCCCGAAGAGTGTGGTGCTAGGAACAATTAAGATCCTGTGCAGAATTCTCAAAATCCCAGGCCTCTCATGGAGAATTCATAGAGGAAGACACAGACCACCTATAAAGGTAAAAAGGGAAATTAGAGATAGAGACAGAGATAGAAAATGGAAACTGTTATTTCCATTTTCTGTGCATAAGCACAGTCTAGGAAAAAAATTGGAAAACAATCTAAATTGCTTTCTCTTTTCTAATATAGAAATGCTGAAAATGAAACATTATTTTCTGTCTTCTGTGAAAGCCTAGATTCCCTCACTCCATTCAAAAGAAAATGAACTTCCCTCACTCCCCAAGCTAGTCACATCCCTATTTTATGCAAATAGTTACCAATGTTTCAGTAAAAATAGAATAAGTGATTTGGCTTAAGGAATGGGCAGGGGTCCCAATTGGCACGGTTTGGTTGGGAATGACAGGAGTTCTTATCTAGTGCATTAGCAGGCCCAAGCTGGAAAGGATTGCAATGAAATCTCTCCCGGCAATTTTCCTCTGTTACAGCAACAGAACAGTTTGAAGATTTTTGTAAAGAGAGAATGATTAGGCTGCAACAACTATGCAGCAGCAACCATACAGTTAACATTATCCTCTTGGGATATTCCTACATCAAACCATATACTCAGTCAGCCAGGTCAGCCTATTCAAAGATAGCCCAGGGTTCTTCCTCATGACTGCATTCATTCCTCCAGGACCTGAGTTGGCAGAAACATTTGCCAGCATAATTTGATCTGCTCTGATGGGCATGCTGTAACCTGCCTCAGCAATGCGGCTTGTGGATGGTCCTATCTATACAGTTTTGCTGAGGAACAATTTAAGGGCAATAATTGGTAGATTCTCCTGGCTTTATTTCTCTATCCAACTAGTGTCATCAGGAAGTGTGTGTGTGTGTGTGTGTGTGTGAGAGAGAGAGAGGGGGGGGGATTATTCTTCTTAAAGCATGTAACTTTAAAGTCATAAGTCATGGGAATGCTCCATATCAGGCCTGTCAAATTGGCGGCCTGCAGGGGGGATACGTCATGTGCAGGCCATGCCCAGCCTGGCTCCGCAAAGATAAAAAAAGTCACAATACTCACAATCTGGCCCGTGACATGATCAAGTTTGATCACATGCTCCATATCATTAACCCAGGTTTTTAAAAGTATGGATATGAATATTCCACTAGTTTTTGACACGTTGATGGAGCAGAGAATAAGCTAGGGTGAAGCAGGAGAAAGCTGACAAGACACATTGTGAGAACTATCTCTCACTTCATCCTAGCCAGTCTTCTACCCTATCACCCGCTCTGGATAATGTTGGTCCTTCTTGGGCTAGCAGGGGAATTGGCAGAACTCTTGACAGTTTCAACCCAGATCCCAAATATACCAGATTGGTAACCCTGCAGGAAAGTAATGGTGCTGATAATGAATGGCCAGTCAGCAGCACCCAGAAATAGCCCATATAATATGTAAAATGGTGTTTTGCTTTCCAAAGTAATAAAGACAATGCAAAACAGACACGAAAAATTCTTTGTTGAAAGAACAACTTATTTCAGACAAAACCACCAATAGAACTCTCTCCAGCTAAAATTCAACTATAAGTCTTTTCTTAAACATTTATTTTTTGATAGGTCTTAAGGTAGAAGTGCAGGTTAAGTATTATGGGGCAGATGTTTCTGTAGAATCCAGAAGTTGTTTCTTCTGCCAATTGGAATGGACATGAAAGTTGGACCTCGGTGACCAGAGGGCAGGTTCCCCCCTCTCCATTAGCTTCAATTGACCAGTAGGTATTATCAAATATGAGCTTCTGACCATCAATATGAATGATATGCACTGTAGTAGTTGTTCATACATCAAGGATTGTGTCAGAAGAAAATAGAAAAGTCTGATTTAAAATGGGAACAGCTGTGGACAAATTAAGGTTGTCTCCATAATGAACTGGGGATAAAAAGCTGTCTCACTGAGGATCTGTCCTCTAAAAATAGTGGGATGCCTTTGTACTATAGTTAACAGTGATGAAAATGAGCCTTCAGTCTGGAAGTCAGGTATTGCTCCATGGTCATATTGAGACACACAACACATTCGTGAAATAAGAGTTTAATTGGGATTTATTTATTCATTCAATTTATATCCTAATTACAGAAATGGAACTGAAAGCTATAGCTACAGCTCCATTCTGAATGCCACTCGAGTCATATTCTCCTACTTTAAAATCAAGTCTCCAGTGATAGTTGACATTCACTGGCAACTTGAAGGAACTGCATTAACACAAACTAGCTTCATCACATTCATCTGCTTGATCAAAAGTTGGACGTAATCAGTTTTTATTCATTCTACTGTTTTTAGTAATCCACTTCTATTACCAAGTCTGTGCCTTCGCATTCTGTTAATGCTGGAATTTCTCCCGGACTTCGATATGGAATGGCTGTAAGCGAACCAGTGCTAATGTCTATACAGCAGCTACTAAGGCAGTAATTCGCTCCTTTCCTTTCTGTGCTGCCAATCAACTTGGCTGACAGTTGTTAGCTTCTCCGTCTATCTGGTTCGAGCAAGTCAACTTTATCCCGCCCCGAACTACAATTCCCATGATGCTTTGCGACGTCACGCGTTAGCTTCCGGTGGCGCGTGGCTTCCGGCTCGGATCGGAACCCGGAGTCCGGACTCGATCCGGGTATCAACATTCCAAAAACAGGTAATGCCAAGCCCCCGCCTTGATCCACGTCTCTCTCTTACTCCCAGGAACTGCTCCTTGCCCCGTGCGCGGGACCCAGTGCCGGTGAGCCCTTTTCCACCCGTGGAGTTTCCCAGGGCGGCGCGGCGGGGTCCCTTCTCCGCCCGTGCTGCCGCCTGCTCCTCCCTCCCCTCCGTCCCGCTCGCGTCCTCCACGCCGCCTGTTCTTTGTTACAGGCAGCAGCCGCCCGCGGCCGCGCGCACTGTGAAAGGGTGAGGCGGGTCCGAGGCAAAACCCGGCGGAGCCGCTCCCGGATCCCCGGCCCGACCCAGGCAAGCCGCTGCCTCCCTGCGTGGAGGTGACGGGCTTGCCTGCTGCTGCTACCGCTGCCGCCGCCGCCCTCGGCTGTCGAGGCTCCTCCGCCCTTTCTCTCCCCCCTCCCCCCCGAATCCCGCGCTAGAACCGGGTGGGATAACCTGGGAGCGAGACTGAGGCACAAAATGAGCCGTCCGGCGAGCGGTGGTGGGATGGGCCTTTGTGGGTGCCACCCGCCTGCCTAGTAAGGGCAAGGGGTTTGGCGTGTGCAGGAGAAGGAGGACGGAGCCGCCTCGGATCCTTCCTTTCCTCCTCCTTTCGCCCGGACTTAAGGCTCGAATCATCGGCAAAGAAAAAAGCCAGGCGCTCTCTAGTCTGGCTGGGTCGGACACAGCGCCCGTCCTCTCGTAGGGCAGCATAAGAACAGAAGCGCACCACATCTGGAATGCAGCGCTTTAACTGCTGCAAAACTCACCTGTTCAATTCTGCGACAGCCTGTTCCAAAATCCACGAAGGGCAATCAGAGGGAAGGGACCACCTCTCTGTCCCTTTTATGCAAAAGTTTATTCTCGAACTTCCTATGAAGGAATTTGATCAAGCGAACGTATCTCATTCTTTTAAGCGCAGTATGCAAAGTAACTCCAAGCAGCTACTGCATGGATAAGCAAAACCATAGAAAGAATACTTGAAACTTTAAGCAAAGCACATATTTTTACCATTTTTCCACTCTTATGATTGAAGAGTAAGAAGTGGAATACTGTACTAATCACTAGTGACTTGATAGTTCTTAACGTGTGGTTAATATTAAACATATGCAGAAATCATCTTTTGCATCTCCTATTCTTCCACGGCAGTAAACATTTCTTCCTCTATAATGGAGTTAGTGATTACGGATTTATTAGCGAGACTGATATATGGAGAAGCAGTGTCTGAATGGCATGTTAAGACAAGTTCAGTATTCAGTGGAACATCTAGTATATGTGTACTGTACTGAATTCCACAATTAATCACCATTAAATCTCACTGATTGTGTTTGGAAATTAAATAATGAAAGATCAGCAGAGATGTTTCCAAGGGGCTGTACTGCATGGACATACATTTTATGCTATTTGCTTGTATTTAGGGTCGTATTTCACTGTTTTCTGTCAAAACTTAATAAATATGCTGTATTACATGTACTTTGGAAGAACCAGAAGAATGACATTTGGACAGGGACACTTTTAATTATAGTTATATGATGTTTTAGCAGAAAATATGCTTTTATTTCAGACTTATTTTTAAGTTTAACTCTGGATTTGCTGTGACATGTTTTCATCTTAAAATGTATAAGACAATATCCTACATTTTCTAGAATTTTTCCTATAGCTCATTTTATTGCAGGATTTTATTTCTGTCTCATTTCTAAAGTACTAATTGCTAAAATCTCATCTAATTACTATTCTGTAAAATAACTAAATTAGAACTTGGAACAAAATTTGTTAACTTGATTTACTTCCAGGTAAGTGAGTATAGTTTTAATTTTCTTTCTTCTACTCAGTTGCACTGATACATTCCACCTACTGGACTCTTGGTATTGGTTATAAATGGGATGACATTTTTATCACTGAAGCAATATTGTCAAACGTGTATTGCATTTTCTTCAATATAAATGGGTAACACAATTTTAGTAACTATCTCTGGAGCCAGTAGGGGTCAGTTGTGTCACATTCATACAAGCAACCAAGGACTACATTTTAAAGGCATTGTTCAGGCTTGAAATTAAGGCAATCTTAAATACTGGAAGAGAGTACTGTAAGACATGAAGTGGATTTGGGACAGGAATCAATTCAAGCATGAATTCATATGTTAATCTGTCATCTCTCACCCATACTTCATCTTATTTTTAATATAAATGAATTAATGATTGGGCAAATAGTTTTATAGTATATGTTTATCTTTTAAATCCTGCATTGTTTAGAGTTGATGTTAAATAGTTCAGATGGCCATCCTTGTCCTCAACAATCATTTATGACATAATTATATGACTCTTCTGATTGTATTTTTATATTTATTAGATTTTTATCTCACTTATCCTGAAGAATAATATACCACTGAACAGAATATGAACTATTTTCACCGACTGAAGGGCTGGCCTCTGACTGGGTATGTCCGGACGGGATGACTGAGGCAGGTCTTGAGAGCGTTATCTGGGAGGAGTTCGATCCTGTGGCTCCCGAGGACATGGACAGGATCCTGGGACAGCTGAACGCGACCACATGTTTATTGGACCCGTGTCCCTCCTGGTTGGTACTGGCTTCCTGGGAGGTTACACGAGGCTGGCTCCAGAGGATTGTTAACGCTTCTCTGAGTGAGGGAGTCCTACTGGCCGCTTTGAAAGAAGTGGTGGTGAGGCCCCTCCTCAAGAAGCCCTCTCTGGATCCGGCTGTTTTGGCTAACTATCGTCCAGTCTCCAATCTTCGCTTCGTTGCAAAGGTTGTTGAGAGTGTGGTGGCTCAGCAGCTTCCTCGGTACCTGGATGAAGCTGTCTATCTAGACCCGCTCCAGTCCGGCTTCCGGCCTGGGCACAGCACGGAAATGGCATTGGTCGCGTTGGTGGATGATCTCTGGAGGGCTCGGGATAGGGATTGCTCCTCTATCCTGGTCCTATTAGATCTCTCAGCGGCTTTTGATACCATTGACCATGGTATCATGTTGCACCGGTTGGAGGGACTGGGGGTGGGGGGCACCGTTCTGCGGTGGTTCCCTCCTACCTCTCTGACCGGTTTCGGGGTAGAGTTCCATCAGTACGCTGACGACACCCAGCTGTACATCTCCACCCCAGGCCACCCCAACGATGCCCTTGAAGTGATGTCCCAGTGCCTGGAGGCCGTGCGGGCCTGGATGAGGAGAAACAGGCTCCGACTCAACCCTTCCAAGACCGAGTGGCTGTGGCTTCCGGCGTCCCGATATAGCCAGCTGGTGCCATCGCTGGCTATTGGGAGCAAATCACTCGCCCCCACGGAGAGGGCTCGCAACTTGGGTGTCCTCCTGGATGCATGGCTGTCTTTAGAAGACCATTTGACGGCTGTGGCCAGGGGGGCTTTTTATCAGGTTCGCCTGATATGCCAGTTGCGCCCCTTTCTAGATCGGGACTCCCTACGCATGGTCACTCAGGCACTCGTCACCTCCCACCTGGACTACTGCAACGCTCTCTACATGGGGCTCCCCCTGGGGTGCACCCGGAGGCTCCAGCTGGTCCAGAATGCAGCTGCGCGGGGGATTATGGGAACGACGGGGCGCTCCCATGTGACACATCTCCTGCGCGAGCTGCACTAGCTCCCGGTGGTCTTCCGGGTGCGCTTCAAGGTGTTGGTGACCAGCTTTAAAGCGCTCCATGGCTTAGGGCCGGGGTATTTACGAGACCGCCTTCTGCCACCAATAGCCTCCCACCGGCCAGTACGCTTGCACAGAGTGGGCCTCCTCAGGGTGCCGTCCGCCAAACAGTGTCGGCTGGCGACCCCCAGGGGGAGAGCCTTCTCTGTGGCGGCACCTGCCCTCTGGAACAACCTCCCCCCAGAGATATGTACAATATCAGACCTCCGGATTTTTCGTCTGGCCCTGAAAACTTATTTATTTCAATAGCCGGGCTGGCTTGATCCCACAGTTTTGGGTTAAGTTTTAATTGATTTTAAATTGGGTTTGTTTTAAATTGTGGCCAAAAATATTTAATTATTTTAAACTGTTTTTAAATTTTGTATGTCTTGTTTTTTATTTTGGCTGTTCACCACCCTGAGTCCTATTGGAGAAGGGCGGTATACAAATTGAAACAAATAAATGTTATTTCTTCAGCTGGTGTCATTATTCATATATATGTATATTATTTTTAAACAACAGCATTGCAGTGACTATAATTACTTTTTATAGTGAATTGGAATTTGGCCTTTTGTCTCTGAAAATAGTATTTTAAATGATAATAGAGAACCATTTTATTCATAGGGACATAAGGGTTTAGGATTTTTTTACAGATATCCTATATCTCAGGATAAAATATATTAATCTTATTTTTGACATTTTGTTGGTGTATGACTTTATAAGATTGAATAGTAATTTCTTTCCCCTTCATTCTCACAATGTCTGCTATGAAATAAGCAGAGCAATTTTGATCCGTTGCTTACCTCTCTTCCAAAGCTTATAGCAAAGTAAGAATTAAGGAGGTTTGTTTTGAAACTGCAGTTCAACATTCTTTTTGCAACTCTACTGGATGAAGCCTCCGATACAGTTAACTCTATCATTGGAGTCTGAGATTTATTCCTGAGTATTCATGTATCATGGTTTTATGCCACTCAGAGAATGTTTATCTGACTATACAACTAACTTTTAAAACTGTAAGAATTAAATAAGTCCTCATAGGTCTCACCCCCTCCATGTCCTTTTTCCAGTGAAAGCACATCATGATTGCCAATATATAAAACAGTATATATAAAACAGTAAAAGAATATACCTGTCATCCTAATATTAATAAGCAAGCTTCACTGAATTCAGTGATTTTTTTTCAGTTGAGGTGTGTATAGGATTGCACTATGAAAGTTCTAAAAATTAGGCAATACAACTATACATATGTTTTTTCAGAAAAAAATGCTCAGAGTTGTATTCATAATACTATAAAACATGCCTGGGAATCAGCCCTGCTGAAATAATAGAATCCTGTAGAGGTTTATAGTTTAAAAGAAAAAGAAAACCATGTAAACCATGCACTGGAAGGAAGGTAATATTCTTTGTTTTACAATTAGATCCTAGATGCTTAAATCTCATAGAACCAATGTTCTTTTGTTAGGGATTAAAATGGCTTCTGTTTTGCAGAATTGTTACTGGTGGATATAATCCCCCCCCCCCAAGCTAAATAGATTCTTGAGGTTTCATCCAGCCAAACTAAATCTTTGGACAGAAATGGTAGGAAGTAGTGTATTTTTGTAACACATACAAAGAAGATTCAGGAAAGAGATTGACTACTGTCCCATTGTTTGACTATATTATGTAACTCATCTTCCAATGATAATTCTACAGTAAGCTATCAAACTGGAATAAAGGTGGGCAAAATTTAAGCATTATAGCAAAAACATAGAATTTTACATCAAAAAAGTATTTAAAGAAGCTCACATTTATTTCTAAAAGTAAATGAAACGTGGAACTGTTCCTTTTTGCAAAGCTGTATTTGTTTGAAAAGTGTGGTATGTTTAAAGTGCTGAACTAGGAGGTGGTGGAGACCCATGTTGCAGTCCACTCTCAGCTACAGAAGCTCACTGGGCAACATTGAATGAGTCACTCTTTGTCAACCAAACCTATCTCAGTTGGGTGGTGTACTGTATATATTGCCTTGAGCTCTTGTACAAAAGGTGGTATATAAATCTAATAAACAAGAAACAATTTGTTAATAAGCACTAGAGTTTTATGATTTATTCCTTCTCTTTATTTTATGTGGGGTCTTGGTGCTCTCTGAACCTGGTTGTTTTCTTAGTACTAATAGCACTGGTGACGTTACCTAGTTTCGGTAATGAAACATCTGCAAGAAAACAAATCAAGCTGAGAAAGCACTCCCTCATTTCAACCCAGAGTGACAAATATTCTCCTTTATTTTTATTTTCTGCATTAAATCATTTTTCTTCGTATGAGTTTTTTTTTTTTTAAATGTACATTTTATGTTTTGTGAAAGGACTGGATTGCACACTTTGAATTGACCTGCATTCTAAAATAATGGCTTATTGACAGGATGCAAATTTCTATCTATCTGGTGATTGCACCACTTTTAGCCACTTGTCTGCTAAATAAATCTGGAAGGGTTTTTTGGTCACTTTAGGGATAGGTGTGGTTCATGGAGTATCCTTTTGTTGCAGCAGAGATAGACGTTACACCCAAGGCTTTGTTTTACACAATATTGTGAAATATACTGCCTTTAAAAAAAAAAAAATAATAACATGGTTTTAAATGTTATGAAATGTGGTTTTGGAAATGTTCTTGAAAGCTTATGGGGCAGAGAGGGTGCGTTTTTCAGCCAGGTTCCCCGTTATTGACTTTTCCCTATGCAAGAATATATTTCTCAGGAGGATTACCAAATGTTACTACTTTTTCCAAAGTGAAAAGATTCTTCTCTAAATCTCTGTAAGGTTGTCAAATTTGACCTTTTTTTTCATGTGAATCTTTTTTGTAGTATCCTTATAGCAACGTTTTTCAACCTTGTCAACTTGAAGAGGTATGGACTTTAACTTCCAGAATTAAAGTTGCTGGCAGGGGAATTCTGGGAGTTGAAGTCTACACCTCTTCAAGTTGACAAGGTTGAGAAACACTGCCTTACGGTCTTTTTGAGAGGTATGCAGGTAGACATACAGTAACAAAATTGGGAAAGGAGTCCAGCAAGGCTATATACTGCCACCCTGCCTGTTTAACTTATATGCAGAGCACATCATGAGAAAGGCGGGGCTAGATGAATCAAAAGTTGGAATTAAGATTGCCAGGAGAAATATCAACAACCTCAGATATGCATATGATATCACTGTAATGACAGAAAGCCATTTGATGCGGATGAAGAAGGAGAGTACAAAAGTTGGCTTGAAACTCAACATTAAGAAAACTAAACTAAAACTCTCCTGGCAAATAGATGGGGAAGAAATGGAGATAGTGACAGATTTTATTTTCCTGGGCTCCAAGATCACCGCAGATGGGGACTGCAGCCAAGAAATTAAAAGACATTTGCTCCTGGAGAGGAAAGCTATGACAAATTTAGATAGCTTACTAAAAAGCAGAGTCATCACTCTGTCAACAAAAGTGCTTATAGTCAAGGCTATGGTTTTCCCAGTTGCAATGTATGGCTGTGAAAGTTGGACCATAAGAAAGACTGAGCACTAAAGAATTGAGGCCTTTGAACAATGGTACTGAAGAAGACTCCAGCGAGTCCCTTGGACTGCAAAGCGATCAAAGCGATCATTCCTATAGGAGATTAACCCTGACTGCTCTTTAGAAGGCCAGATCCTGAAGATGAAACTCAAATACTTTGGCCACCTAATGAGAAGGAAGGGCTCACTGGAGAAGAGCCTAATGCTGGGAAAGATTGAGGGCAAAAGAAGAAGGGGGCCTAGAGAATGAAGTGGCTGGATGGAGTCACTGAAGCAGTAGGTGTGAGCTTAAACTCCAGAGGATGGTAGAGGACAGGAAGGCCTGGAGGAATGTTGTCCATGGGGTTGTGATGGGTCGGACACGACTTCGCAACTAACAAAAACAACAATAATCCTAGTCCATAGCTAAAGCAACTCTTTTTTAAGTGTTTCAGTTTTAAAGTAATATTTTCCCTCTTCTTCAAACACAGCTTTTATCAATCCAGCACACTTCATCAACAATATGATCAGGCCAAGTATTAGTTGAGCTGCTTTTCTCCACTTTAGGTTACTCTGGATACACATTCTCCCTTTTAGTTACTGGGCGCTATTTTGCCATTCTTACCATTGCCACCATTACCATTTTGGGTTTAGGCTGCAGAAAAGAAGATTGGACACCTTGTTCCATGCAGTCGTCCATGCCTGTTAGTTTGACTGGCAGATCTCAGTTATAGAGCAGGAGCATGGGTTGAAGTGGAGGAAGTGCTCGTGATGGTCACAATCTCTTCTCTGTACACATGAAGCAAAATGTTGTTTCTGAACATGGACTGAGAACTTAAAGAGTGCTAAATCTGAATCTAAAAATAATCTAGTGACATTCCTTATCCCTTACTTTTTCTCCAAGGCATTATTACTCAATAATTAGGAGAACAAATGTCAGCATACTTTTCTGTCAGTTCAAAATTGGTAGATTGCATCACAAATGCTTAGAAATCTTGGGAGTCAAGAAAAGTCCTTGGAAGACATTAGAAGTCTGAAATTTACATTGCTCTTTATTCATTCATTCATTTCTTTACTTGTTTATTTTATTAAATTTATATGCCATTGTTAAGCAATTTGTATATCCATGAGGAATTTTATAATATTGACCATATCACAACATATTCCTTGTGTGTCACACTTGACCAAATAAAGCATTCAATTCAATTCAAGATGTGATTTTTAACTAACATGGGTAAAATGGCTGGTAAGTCACATATGGAACTGAGTTTTGTATAATGGACAAAAAATAACATAAGCATTGGTACATTGGTATACCTAGTGATATACATATATTTTTCTTTCTGGAAACGGTATTTCTTTTGGAATTCTTAGTAATTCAGACAGTCCTTAATATAAACCTATAGATAATAAAAAATCAGATCAGAGATAGTATATCATTGCAGATACTTCATTTTACTCATGGTGTACATTGTTTTTAAGGCAGGAAAATTAGTGAGCTTTAAGATAACTTAGTTTTATGGAAGACATTCTAATGATCTGATTGATATTTCTGTCCTTTTGGTTTTGGCAGATACCAGAAATGGCTGAAGAAGGTGGTGACTTTATATGTAAGTGCTCAAGAAGGAAGAATAAATCATTGCTATGACTTTTTGTGCTGTTAAAACTGAATGTGTCATTTTCTTCTTCTATATTAGTCATTTAATAGAGTAAATGTAAGGAAGGATACTGGGAGTCCTTGACTTTACAAACATATGACCATTGTACATTCGTTTAGTGACCATTCAAAGATACAATGGCACTGAAAAAAGTGACTTATGACCATTTTTCATATGACTGTTGCAGCATCCCATAATCAAATTTGAGAGTAATCAAAATTCAGATGCTTGGCAATTGCTTCATATTTATGACAGTTGCAGGGCCCAAGGTCATGTGATCACCTTTTTAAACCTTCTGACAAACAAATTCAATGGTGAAGCCAGATTCATTTGACAACTGTGTTACTAAGTTAACAACAGCAGTGATTCACTTAACAACTGTGGCAAGAAAGATTGTAAAATGAAGCAAAACTCACTTAACAACTATCATACTTAGCATCATAAATTTTGGGCTCAGTTATGGCCATAAGTCAAGGACTACCTGTTCTCTGTGACAATAAAACAACAATTTTAACTCATTGCCTTTGTATTGTACTATTAATGCTATTTTACACAGGTGCTAGTTTACTTTTTTGGTAGCTACTTTTTCTTCCATGTAGACAAATGAAAGACTCAGCTCTGTTTAATTGGATGGCCTCACTTCTTTCAGCATTATTTTTATTCAGTATTTTTGTTCTTGAAAGCAGAATGCAGGGTGGTGGAAGGAATGCTATCGTGCTATTAGCTCCTTTGAATGTGATATTGTGTCTCCGGTTTCTCTCATTCCCATACAGTAGTTATTTAAATAGTTCTATGTTGTAAACAGAGCCCTTGTCCCCAAATAGCTTTCAAAAGAGAAATTTAATGAAAGTGAGGTCTCTTACATTCAGTGCATTCAGAAATGTTCAGACCCTCCATAATTCTCAGATGGAAGAAGTTTGGCACAACCAGGACTCTTGCAGGAGTTGGTCACCCAGTCAAACTGAGCAATTGAGGGAGAAGGTCCTTAGTAAGAGAGGTGACCAAGAACCTGATGGTCACTCTGACTGAACTCCAAAGAGTGGAGATGGGATAGAGTTCCAGAAGGACAACCACTAATGCCGCCCTCCACTGATCTGGGTTTTATGGCAGAGTGGCTAGATAGAAGCCTCTCCTCAGTGCAAAACACATTATAGTCCATTTGGAGTTTGCCAAAAAGCACCTGAAGGGCTCTCAGACGGTGAGGAATAAGATTCTTTGGTCTTATCAAACCAAGATTGAACTGTTTGGCTTCAATTCTAAACATTATATCTGGAGAAACCAGGCACTGCTCATCACCTGCCCAATATCATCCCAACAGTGAAGAATGATGGTGGTAGCATCATACCATGGGGTGTTTTTCAGCAGCAGGGACTGAAAACTGGGCAGGGTTGAGGGAAAGCTGAATGTACAGGGATATCCTCAATGAAAAGATGTTCCACAGTGCTCAGGACCTCAGACTGGACAGAAGGATCACTTTCCAACATGACAACAATTCTAAGCACACAGCCAAGATAACACAGGAGTGGCTTAGGGACAATTCTGTGAATGTCCTAGAGTGGCCCAGCCAGAGCCCTGACTTGAACCCTATTGAACATCTCTAGAGGGATATGAAAATGGCTGTCCACCGACGGTCACCATCCAACCTAACTGAGCTTGAGAGGATTTGCAAGGAAGAATGGCAGAAAATCCCCCAATCCAGGTGTGCAAAGCTTGTTGCTTCATACCCAAAAAGACTCAAGGCTGTAATTGCTGCCAAATGTCAGGTGCTTCAACAAAGTACTGAGTGAAGGGTCTGAATACTTAAGCCAATGTGATATTTCAGTTTTTATCTTTTTAATAAATTTAAAGAAATTTCTAAAATTCTGTTTTCACTTTGTCATTATGGGGTAATGAGTGTAGATTAATGAGGAAAAAAATTAATTTCAACAACTGTAGAATCAGAATGCAGCATAACGCACAGGTGATTATGGGGGCAACATGGCGCTCCCATGTAACATCTCCCCTGCGCGAGCTGCTCTGGCTTCCGGTGGACTTCCGGGTGCACTTCAAGGTTTTGGTTCTCACCTTTAAAGCGCTCCATGGCTTAGGGCCTGGATATCTACAAGACCACCTTCTTCCACCGATAACCTCCCACCGGCCAATACGCTCCCACAGAGAGGGTCTCCTCAGGGTGCTGTCGATCAAGCAATGTCGACTGGAGACCCCCAGGGGGAGAGCCTTTTCTGTGGGGGCACCCGCCCTCTGGAACGAACTACCCCCAGGGATACGACTGATCCCGGACCTCTGTACTTTCCGCTGGGCTTTGAAGACTTTCTTGTTTCAGCAAGCCGGGCTGGCTTAAGATTTTAATTGTTTAATTTTATGGGTAAGGGGTTTTAAAATTAGGAAGCCAAATTGATTTAATTATTTTTTAAATTATTTTAATTTTCATATTGTATGTATTTTAACCTTGGCTGTTCACCGCCCTGAGTCCTTTGGGAGAAGGGCGGTATAAAAATTTAATAAATAAATAAATAAATAAATAAATAAATAAATAAATAAATAAATAAATAAATAAATAAATAATAAAATAACAAAATTGACAAAAGTGAAGGGTCTGAATACTTTCTGAATTCACTGTATGTCTTATGCACATACTTAACATAAAATGTGATTAGGTTACATACACACACACATACACACACACAGCATTAGCAATAGCACTTAGACTTATATACTGCTTCATAGTGCTTTACAGCCATCTCTAAGCAATTTACAGAGTCAGCATATTGCCCCCAACAATCTGGATCCTCATTTTACTGACTTCAAAAGGATAGAAGGCTGAGTCAACCTTGAGCTGGTGAGAATCAAACTTCTGGCAGTCGGTAGAATTAGCCTGCAATACTGCATTCTAATCACTGCACTATCACAGTTCATAAAAGAATATTAAAGATAAAGTGAGGTTGAGGATGTGTGCCAGAGACAGGTATTTGTTGTGAAGATTAGAGCTTTTCCATAGCATGCATTTGATATAAAAGGTAAAGGTATCCCTTTCTAGTCGTAGGAAGTGGTGCTAATCTCCATTTCTTAGCTAAGGGAGTCAGCTTTGTTCGAAGACCTTTCTGTGGCTAGCATGACTATATGCTGAGGCGCACAGAATGCATTTGGTATATGCAGATCTTTCCAGTTCTTTGAAAAACTTGAATCATTTTGGATAATTTTATCTGCTGTGGGAGTTTGTTGTATGCATTAGGGGTGTTAATTTGTAACAAATGACATAGCGATTACCTAAGGCTCCAAACAGCCTTTTTCAACTACTCTTATACTTTACTGTAAGCATGTGATTTGCTGATTTTTAATACAGCTTCAAAACTATATTGAGCTTCATGGATTGTCGAAGGCATAAAGGATCATGCTACAGTAGTCATCGTTTAGTGAGCACATTTGAGACTGGCCACTCGGTCATTAAGTGAAGCAGTTGTATAGTGAAACTGCAATTGTGCCTACAATTTCATTTCAGCTTTCCTTTGCTTTACAGACCTCTGTGAAAGTTGTAAATATGAGGATTGGTCACAAAGTTACTTTTTTATCACCATCGTAACAGCGAACAGTCATTAAATGAAACAGTTGCTAAACAAGGACAACTTGTACACTATTCATTTATTGATTCTGTATTACTGATACTAATGTCAATAGCACTTAGACCTATATACCACCCTGTAGTGCTTTACAGCCCTCTCTGAGCAGTTTACAGCATATTGCCCCTAACAGTCTGGGTCCTCATTTTACCGACCTCAGAAGGATGGAAAACTGAGTCAGCTTTGATAGGTAGAATGCTTCTTTAAAAAGAATTTCAACAGCTGGCAAAACTTATTTCAGAAGTTTGCATTTTATCAGCAAGGTAAATAGATATACATGAGACATAATTCATAAATGACAAGACTCTGGGATATACTATTAGGGAGCAGAACTGCCAAAAGCACAACAATGCAAGTCTGGAAAAAAAAAAACATTTCATAATACATATCTTTGATTCAACTGCTAAGCCAAGGTTAACGTCTACTTTGCTAGGCTGCAGTGGTAGTTTTGTTTTGCCTACTCACTTAGTTGTCCTTTAATTGTTTCAATAGTGATAATGAAAAATGTCATAGGTTATAAATATAAAGTAATGTATTTGTGTTGCAAGATTGTAACATTGGGAATAATGCATGGTATTGTTTCCAAATTTTGGTGTGGCAGTTGGGTTGGCAGACATCGCTGCCTCTCCTTATAACAAAATTTCTAAAAGTATCATACAAACAGCTAGCCTGCGATTCCAGCAAAAAGGGGAAACATGCAAAGTCAAATTGATAGATCTGTGAGTAGAGCTGTCCTAAGGAATTCATCCTTGTCTTTGTGATTTTCATGTATATCCCAGAATCCATTCTTTTTAACAAGATTCCTGACTAGGATTTTTGCCAGCCCAGATTCACACACCTGAATTTTGATGCAACCCTATTGATCTAAAATTCTGAAATTATTTTCTCATTTTAATGTAACATGTTTCTTTCCCATGCTTTAGAGTATTCTTAATAAGCTTCATTTGTTACACATTTATTGGAAATGTATTTTTATATGTGATATAGAAATGGTTTATAAATTCAGTATAATTTCACCTAGTGCCTCATTGAAATCAGTTGAAATATGGTTGTTATATTTTTGCTATTAAATGGGCTATTTTAAACTATTAAATGCCACAATTGTTTGAAATAAAGACTTGAAATATTCAATATAGCTACTTGCCAATATGTGAGCAAAGGATACTTTTCTTGTCTCTTCCAGGGTGTGAAGATTGCAATCAGTATCATGATTCAGAATGTCCAGAGCTGGGTCCTGTGGTGACAGTCAAAGACTCTTTTGTGTTAAGTAGAGCAAGGTAACTTTTATAATATTGCATTTTTGAAGTAACCTATTTGGCAACATTTCAAAAGAGAAGGCTCTTTGTGAACTTGCATTTTGCTTTAGGTGTTGCATTTTAAATGGCAAATGTTCTAGGTCTTATGTTGATTTTATCTAATTCTAAATGTCAACTGAAATGAGCTAGCGTGTAGTGATTAAAGAGTTGGAAAAGAAGAAACACATGTATAAGGCTACCTTCAGTCATCAAAATGTATAAGGCTACCTTCGGTGATCAAAATTCATTGAGCGGCTTTGGGCCAGCCACTTTCTTTTCAGCCTAGAGTTCCTGAAGGAAAGGTAAGATGGAAACTAATATATAGTCATCATGATCACCATCTGTGCCTTCAGGTTAGCCTCTGGAGTTTTTGAATATCAAAAAGCCAGTAATGGTGTATGAACTACTCAATTTCAGCTAAGTGGAAATTCATGACCTTTTCATAGGGTTAGAGAAGTATCCCAATCTGACGGCCTCCAAATGTGTTGTAGGCTACAGAACACAGCATATAGTATTCTTGAAGTTGTACTTCCTTATTTCAGAAGGTTATCAGGATAGGGATGTTGCATTCATTCTGGTGGGCTTCTCATGATTAGTCCAGATTAGAAAAACACAAGGACAGGTGTTTCTCGGGATGAGAGAGCCCAGAGCTGACTCCGTCACCCTCTTTTATTATACCAGGGTATAGGCGTATCAGAAGGCATGATTACAGCTATACATTCTCATATTACATCCGTGATACAAAGGATTTTCTCCATATCTGGACATAACTTTCACATCCTACCATATTACAGTAAATCACGTGAATTCTAGGAAAGCGATACTAAAGGTAAAACAAAACTTAACTCTGTCATGTTATCATATTTGGCTTTGTTCCCAGCATCCCATCACCTGCCAACAAAGAGGCCCCGTTCTGCAAGGAGATGTCTCTATGTTCTACAAGGAGATGTCTCTTCTTATGCAGGCACAGCCTATGTTATTAACAAAGAGAGAACGACTAGGGCCCTTCAGAGAGTATCCATATGAACCGCTTTTCATAGTCAGATTATTTCGGTGCTAAGCTCCATACACGTGTCCAACCAGTTAAACTGGTCTATACATGTACTATGGCCACTGCATTCCCACATTTCCTCTGTTTTTGTTTTTTGCAACAGGGTTCAGCTGTGTTGTTATTATGATGTTCTCTTTATGCCTGGGAAACATACCTATCATCATAGCAAACAAAGCAGGAATATATTGAACACTACAATATACAGAAATAAGCAAAGCAATAATCATGAGTACAGTAGACAATATGTTCTTCAGCCATCTGGTTTCTGCAAATGTTTTTAGCTCACCCATCCTTTTATTACGGTGAACAAAGTTAGTGGAAAAGTGGCCAGGAGATGTCAAGCGAGGTAGGCCATCATGTTTCTGAGTTGTATTCCAGTTATACATTTCCACAAATCGCTCACACAAATTGTAAATCCATCCGGTTTCAGGCAGCCAAGAAAACCACATGTCAGGAGTTTGTAACCTCTGAGTTATCTTGGAAGCCCTATCTTGCAAGTCCCGAGCACCTTCTCTGACCACACCTGATTTGTTCCTCCAGTTCCAGAAGGGCTTTGGTTTCACTTATCAGGACGTCCTTCCTATTGGAGGGAATAAAACCTTTGCACATTTGCAGAAGGGAGGGGAGACATTGGATGCAGCAACAAAGCAAAACAAGCAGTACAATTATAGGTACAATAGTTGGCATAATTGATTTCAACCAAGAACCATCCGGGAGCCATGACCAAAGAGCAGTCCAGATGTCAATGGCGCCAGATCCATTGGATGATAAGGGATTGTTTTTTGATCAAGTTTTCCATATGTTCTATGGTATGAGTGATGTTATACTGATAATCAGATACATAATATCTAAGGCATATCGGTTTTGTAAGACTACCTCCCCGATTTCAGCCAGTTCTTTGTTCATCAGCTTCAGCACCTTGATAGTCTCATTGAACATATGTACTGTCCAGTTATTTAATAAATGAAGATCCCGATAGTTCATTGCCGCCCGAGATTGGGCAAGATGTCTCTGGATATCTGAGTTTTTAATGAGCCACCCAGTGTCAGTGGTGGGTGTGGTTTGAGAAATAGGAGTAGTGGAGTTGGTCCGATTAGCAGCTATTTGAATGTGTCTTTTATTACTGTCCCATCATGATTGAATATAATTCCAGAATCCGTGATATATAATGTCCTTTATGCAATTGTTACAGAGGCCCATTGTTCTTATTCACTCCCCCCTCAGCTGGAAATGTCAATATGGGAACTTTAGGTGTTGGAGTAGACTTAGGTAGAAAGTAAGGAGCTTGTGCATAGACAATGCGTTTTTGACGGGAGCGTACTTGACTTGAAGTGTATGTATGTGGGGATTTGATGTTCCTTACATGGTCACTTGAGAGTCCCAAAGCTAACAATGTCCAAGGTCATAAACAAATCATAGTCACTTATACGTGTGAAACAAAATTACTAGCAAAATTAGAAAAACAATTCTACTAACATTAGTATGTGTAAGAAAGTGTTAAAATGTATATGTACAATGTGAAGGTAGTTTCCTCCTGAATGAATCTTCCGCTGTGCTCAGGGGACTAGCTTCCGGTGTAGTCCTGCAAAGCTGATGGTCACCACCGTGCGTTAAGAGTCTGTTGCCAGGAGGACTCAGCAAGGCTGTTTTCTCCTTAAATCTCAGCACCAGGGGTTTCTCCTTCTTTTTGTTGTAAATGAAATGGTCTTACGTGTCATCTGGGGATCCAAATGATGCGATCATTGTCCTGGACAGCAGCATATCCATGGCCCCAGGTAATAAGGTCAGCAGGCCCTCTCCATGCAGGATCAGGTAGTTGGTGGAAATAGACCATCAGTTTTAGGGCAGCTGATGGATAAGCAGAAAAATGACGGGTCGCAGCCAATGTGGGAGGCTGTCCAGTCAGGTTAAGGAAGTTCAAAGTATATAAGCAAAGATTGAGTTTGTTTTGCATGGCTGGGAGGCCGAGGCATTTTTCCTCTTTCAATTTATAAGCCAAATTTGTGTGTGATGGACCACTTGTTACAAAAGTCTGCTAAGGCAGTACTGGTGCACGCAGGTCCATTGTCAGTTTTAAGTTCAATTGGGCGTCCCATCGATGCAGAAGGTCCGAATACAATGATTTATTACATGTTTGGTTGCTTCCCCCCTTCTTGGGAATGCCATTAATAAATCCTGAATAAATATCCAAGGAAACATGCAAATATTTCCATGGGGCAAAGGAAAGGTATTGAGTCACATCCATTTGCCAAATTTCACAAGCTTTGAGACCTCTAGGGTTTTCACCCATAGGGATAGAATGAGCTTGTTGACTACAGGTAAGACATTGTTGTATGATGGCAGTCGCTTCGGCTGCCGTGAGACCAAATTGTTTCGCTAATGCTTTTTTATTTTGATGAAAATAGGCATGACTGTCCCATGGTGTGATGGAAGATATAACCATGAGCGCAGTTGCAGCTTTGTCATTTCCCTCTTCCAATCTCTGTCTCCGCTACCTACAATATCTATAACCTTCCAATAAACAAATCTCCTTATAACACTAAACATTCAAGTCCTTCTCCCACTGCCATTCTGACTTCCAAGCCAGCTCAAATCTGTGCAAACCAACTTTTCTCTTAAACAATTCAACTCCTTCTCTGCACCAATATCTGATCGTCCTTCTAAATCTCCTTGTAAACAAGCATACTTCCAAAAGTCAACTTTCTGCTTTCCTTCACTAACTCTCTCTTACATTCCCTGTAACACTGGGTTCTTTGCATACCAGTCTTTATACAAAATAGCACAATTATCTATTCACAGCCTACAATATCCAGTCAATCCTAAAAATTTCCTCAACTCTTCAGGTGTTATCTTCTTTCATTAATTAAATGTCCTATGTATTTTATCTCTCTGTCTACATATTGTAATTTGTAACTCATCTCTGTGATAATTCCTAAAAATGGCAGCAGTTTATGCTGCTGACAAACAAACAAACAAATAAACAACAGACAAACAAAGAACAAACATTCCATCTGTTAAGTTTGCAAAATGCACGCAGACATAAAAACATAAAAGTAAGAAAAACAGCTTCAAAAATAAACAAACAATCTAAATGAGATACTTTGAGTCAATACTCTGAAATAGAATTGGGTATGAAAGTATTTGAAACGTCAAAAATTTCCAGAAGGAAAAAGAAGATACTGCATTCTGAGCCAAGACAGTGCTCTGCAAAGGCAGGTATCAGATATCACCCTTTCACTCCCGCCTTTCTCTGGCTGGTTCTCTGAGAGAAAAAAAATTGTTAAAGTAACAAAGAAACCATAGCCCCCCGCCTCTTTCGTGCCTCTCATCTTCCCAGGGAAAAAAAAAGGAGGGGGTGAGGGAAAAGAAATTTTTTTTTTAAAACAGACCAAGCCTCCCTTCTCCTCGGAAGGCAGGGAGAGAAAAGAAAAAAGGTGCTTATACACAAAATTACATTTCATGTAATCCAATACACACCCATTCACATCTGTACTGCAATCAGACCTTTTGTATAATACGTCCTTCATGCAAATCAGTCATTCAAATTATTTCAATGAACTAATTTATCCCCAAAACAGTGAAAAACACAGGCAGGAGTCATAATCACAAAAGGTGACATGGGCCCATAACCACTGTCCGGTTTTCCACAGTTTCAAGTTCAAACCCAGTCAATTTTTGCTGGCCAGCCAAAAATATCATAATTAAAATTATTTCAACCACATACAATTCCACACACTATCATTATAGATGCACATCGACAAAATATTTTAAACAGAAATCAAGTTGTTTCAGCCTGTCAAACATACTGAGAGTCATAGATCAGATTAAAAGCTTGTTGAGAAAAAGTGTGAAAGCTAAGATAGTCGCAGACAATTAGTGTAAGATTCTTTCCAGATGTCGTCATGAGTATCCTTGTAAGCAATGGCTCCTCTGGAGAAAGTCATTAAGCAAGTAAACCTAGGATCTTTAGGCAAATGATATGAAATACAGCTTACATAGTCAGTTAGAGCACACTGAAGAGATGAATTATTCTGAAGATAAAAGTGAAAGTCAGATTTTGAGATAGAAAGAATAATATTTATTAGATCAGTTCCATTTCTTCGACAGTCTGGCGTACGCCCCAAGGTTATAATTTCAGCAATAGCTTAAATAAAGGGTAAAACATTTTTAGATGGTAATGAGACAAATAAAGCAATGTACTTTTTGCTGTTTTAAAACAGAATTAAATCTCCTGGCTTTTTCTTTTAGTCAATAACTCAAATAATGGGCTAAGTAAATGCATAGGTAAAGAAAAATATGAGCAGTCCCAATTAATAGTACCCAGTAATTGTTGCAAATTTAACTTTGGGTAACTTTAGCCAAAGCAGAAAGAGATTGCACATAGTTTATGCCCTACATACAGATAAGAAGCGTACAGCTGTATTTTTTCTGGGGCAATGTGCACTTCATTTACACATAAATCATTTTGCATTTCAAAAGGCCAATTAGATTGTATTTTTTTGCGCTCCATTTAAAATGTCTTAATACTTTTCCTTAAGGTTTGCTGCCTGATGATAAAGCAGTGCTAACAAATTAGTTTTATACGATGTTCCTATATCCTGACACACCAGAAGAAACTTGCAAAATTGCAGCTGGTAGACACACAGAAAGCATTTCAGCAATTTATTCTATATTCCATCCCCCTTTTTTGTCTAACTGTTTCTTTAAATTCTGCTTAGTGGGGGTGTAACTGACTCCTTCAGAATGAGCTGATGTTTAATTTCATGCCGTGCGTCTGCGTGGGTGATTTAACGCGAGAGCCGCAACTTGTAGTCTCTCAACAAAGTCTGAAAAGGAACTATTAACAGTGTCCTGAAGGCTTTTTTTTTTTTAATGTATCATTAAACACTCTATAACTAATCTCCAGAGTGCAAAATTTTTTCAGGGCTGGGGAGGTTTGTGGAGGCATGTTCCTATCTGCTTCCATTTTCACTTTTAAAGAGCCCTTTTCCGGTTGCCAAAAGTATTTTAGAAGGTAAATCAAATTCTTTTTTATCACGGGCAGGACTTTCCCGTTATCTTTTTTAAAACAATAATATTAGTCTTGGATATCTCACCAAGCTCTTCAGATACTGCGTCTGCTGCTTGGAAAGACCTCCCCCCCATACTCACGAAAGATTGTCGCCGTGTTTCAGGCGAAATCGGGGTGCACAGCTTCTTCCAGGCGGTGAGAACAGGGGTTCCAAGAGACGTATAGCCTCAAGGGTTATCATGTCGGGGTACTTGGCAATTCTGCCCCCATACTCACGATTTATGGGAGGGTGCTTCGTCCGCAGACGACCGGCCCTGGTTTGCAGAGGCTTCTTCCAGCCGAATGAGTATGAGGATGCCAAGAGACATATAGCCGCCAGGGTTATCACGTCGGGGTCACCAGATGTTGCATTCATTCTGGTGGGCTTCTCATGATTAGTCCAGATTAGAAAAAACACAAGGACAGGTGTTCTCGGGATGAGAGAGCCCAGAGCTGACTCCGTCACCCTCTTTTATTATACCAGGGTATAGGGCGTATCAGAAGGCATGATTACAGCTATACATTCTCATATTCATCTGTGATACAAAGGATTTTCTCCATATCTGGACATAACTTTCACATCCTACCATATTACAGTAAATCACGTGAATTCTAGGAAAGCGATACTAAAGGTAAAACAAAACTTAACTCTGTCATGTTATCATATTTGGCTTTGTTCCCAGCATCCCATCACCTGCCAACAAAGAGGCCCCGTTCTGCAAGGAGATGTCTCTATGTTCTACAAGGAGATGTCTCTTCTTATGCAGGCACAGCCTATGTTATTAACAAAGAGAGAACGAATAGGGCCCTTCAGAGAGTATCCATATGAACCCGCTTTTCATAGTCAGATTATTTCGGTGCTAAGCTCCATAACACGTGTCCAACCAGTTAAACTGGTCTATACATGTACTATGGCCACCGCATTCCCACATAGGGAAGCCTCAGAGAGATGGCAACTTTCTAGGATTTACCAGAAAAAGCAGTGTGAGAGGTTTATGAAAATTATACTATATTAGTAGCATAAAATTGGAGCAAAAGAAGCCATGTTTATATAAGGAGGACAGGTAGTCCTTATATAGCAGCTACCTTGGTCAGTGATTGTTTGCAGTTATGATAGTGATGTAAAACTAACTCTGCAACCAATTCTTGTATTTGCAGGTCTGTAAAGCAAAGGAAAGGTGAAATAAGATTCTAAGCATAGTTGTAGTCACTAAACAACAACTACCGATACACATTTGTAAATCCTATTTTGAAAGACCACTATGTTCCAAGAAATGAAATCTGTCTTTACCTACTTAGGTAAAGACAAGCTAAAGCACACATCACTAAGATTAGTTTTCTCTTGTCAGACATAGTAATGCTAAATTTTCAATAAATGTAACTTACAGTGGAGATTTGTTTTAATAAACCATCTAGTCTGTGAGTATTTGAATTCTTATTACCAGATATAATTTGTAATGTGTCAGGAGGTTTTCTGTTTTTGTCTTTGTCACAGCAATGTGTTATAAATGTGCAACTCGAGTCACAACTGAAGAGAATAATACAGAAAAAGGTGTGAAAATAAATAGTTCCCACAAAGGTTTTTCAAGTCTTTCCCAAAATTGTTTCCAATAACATGCTTTTTATAGAGCAGCTTTTGCTATGGGATAGAAAATATTTTTTCTCACTTTCAGTCCCAGTTCATTTCAAATTTCAAATTATCAGATAGCAGGAGATACATGGGACTCCTGTTCATTATCATACAGTAAGGTCAAAGAGTATAACCTGGTTTTTCTTTTATATTAGTTATTGTTTTGCTATGTGTTTTGCTATTGTTTGCTATTTTTGCAGAGAATCTTCCTTATCCATGTTAAGATGCTGGGTTTATTCTATAAGGGTTGAATTCTTTCTTCCATAACTATTGCCAGATACATTTTAGCATCATAATATTCAATTTTTAGATCATCCCTTCCTTCCAACTTGGAGATCAGACAACTTGAAGATGGGACTGAAGGTGTTTTTGCAGTAACTCAACTTGTGAAGCGTACCCAGTTTGGTCCCTTTGAATCCAAGAGAGTTGCCAAACTAGAAAAGGAATTAACATTTCCATTGAAGGTACAGTGATTCCAAATTCAGGTTAATCAATTATAAGGACTTTGAAAATACATCTATCTTTCTCTGATCTGATGCCTTCAATACCGTAGGTATAGAATTTCTAAATGAGCATTGCTATGTTCATTGAGAATTACAGTCCAATACTACATTTGTTTATATATAACTTTCAGATAATGTGGAGAATCAAGACAAAGTTGTTTATAGCTTTGGACAAATTTGATTCTCATAATCTAGATGGAAGTAGTGAATTTAAAAATCTTCCTGCAATGATTCAACGCTTTGATCATTGTAAAAGGCGTCCTTGTATCTTGCCTTTGAGTTTTCTAAGGGAATACTGAGCTAGATAGATTTTTCAATCAGATATAACAAAGCAGACCTTGAATTTGTATTGGGGACAATTAACACTTACTGTCAAATATGTGAAAGATAAAGGAAAGATTCTAGCAGATCTATGAAGAATGAAAAAGAGAATAAGCAAGACATATTAAAATCATGTTAAATAAATTAGTAAATGAATGGCAATAATGTATAAGTAGCTACCAAACACAATTCAGATTATTCAGACCGAGAATTGGAAAGAAAACCAAGATGCTTTTAAGAATCCAAGCAATTCAGGTTATTGTTTTCCTCATCACTGAAGAATGAAATCTAGTTGTTTCCATTTTTTCTATGCCATTACAGTGCTATCTGGACATAGGGAACACATTGGAATCAGGTCATGCTTGATTCTAGGGGTTCCCCAATTTGAGGGGGACCTTGGGCACATTTTGCATTTTAAAAAGTGTCTTGGCATACAACTATAAAATAGTGTGATATATTTGAAATGGCCAGATGAAAAATGCTGTGGGCACCTTGATCTTTCTTCTGGAGAAAATAGCTTTAATAAAATAAATGAGTCATTGTATGGTTTGTTACTTTATCAAAATGATCATTAGGAGCACATTTGTATTGACGTTCTACATGGGTTTTATATAGGTTTTTCAGAAGGAGGGGTCTCCAGTCTATTTTGATACATCTAATGAAGAAGACTGTAACTGGATGATGATGGTGAGACCTGCCAGTCTATATGAGCATCAAAACCTGACTGCTTTTCAACATGATAATGACATTTACTTCACTACTTCTCGGGACATCCCTCCGGGAACTGAGTTAAGAGTATGGTATGCAGCTTTCTACGCCAAAAAAATGGAAAAGCCTGTTCTAAAGCAATGCATTGTCAATGGTATGTTTGGTTGTTTATGGGGAGGTTCTTTACTACCATATAGCATTTTCTCTGACTCAGTTCTTGTGGATATTTTCCTGGGGTGGGGATATTCATGCAGGCATCTTCTCCACATCAAAATTGATATATTATTTTCTCCGATTCACACGTTATTAGAAGGTGAGGCTGCTAAATTGGATCCAAAGATACACAAATAGAACTTTGCTTCTGATCTCCAAGCCTTTGATGAAGTTCAAGAGTCCTTGTGGAATGGAATGTGATCGGCACAAGTATTTCAATAGTTGGGAGAAAGAAAACAATTTGATAGTAATTTTACCTTGTGCAGGCAAAAGTGTGTTTCTCTTCTTCCAAAATACATTTGAACCCAGCCTATTATATGCAGCCTGTTTTATTCTGTTTGACAGAGACATAGGACACACACACAAAAAGAATAATTGGAAGACTTGAGATCAAGACTTAATAAATCAGTGTCTCAGAGATGTTAATTGATGAGAATTATCCACAGCTAATGTGTAAGTCAGCAACCACATCCAAGGAACATGCAGTTAAAAGCATGATCCACTAAGCATTTCATGCTCCAGATCCTGAGCATTAGCTGGGCTAAACAAACTTGATTTCATTAACTATTTCAGATTCTGCTACTGCTTTACATATTTTTCCTTCCCAGACTTTACTTGGTATTGTTTAGTATTCTATCTATGTGGACTATGTTAAGTCTATCTATGTAGTTACTAGGAATTGAAAATGACTTGATAGCACCTAATCAATCATTAGGATTCTGACTTCCAATCAGGCTGAAGTTGAAGTTGATGTTGGAGTTGTTTTGGACTGATAGGTTATGGATCAGAGTCATAGCTTCAGATTTTATAGAGTTGGAGCTTCTTTAGCCTCCATTACTTATCTGAGCTCTAAAGGGGGTGAAAAAAACCCAGTATCCACATTCCTTTTCCCTGATATCTTCCCCTACTCCATGGAGGAGGAAACCAGGGTGGACATGATTCAGCCTTATGTACCTTTCAGCTGGTTGCTTTAAAACACAAAGCTTCAAAGAATTGTGTTTCAGCAGAAATGCATAGAAAATGGAGGAAGAAAATGCTGCTGTTTAAACCTTGTTTATCATACTATGTTCTGTTAAGAAAGAGAAAATACATACCATGCACGTGTGATATCCTCCAGATCTGGGTTTCTATGCTATGTTTGTACATAATGCTAAGTCAGAATTCTTTAAAACTTTGTTTATTGAACAAACTTTACTTAATTGGTTTACACTTAAGTCAAAATGGGTGTGTTAGATGAGGTTTGATCCCTTCCATCTAATACCCGAAAAACAGTAGTTAGCTCTATATATGAATAATGAACTAGGACTATGTTAGAATGATATTTCTTAGTTACCTACAATCAGGTCCAGAAATATTGGGACATCGACACAATTCTAACATCTTTGGCTCTATACACCACCACAATGGAGTTGGAATGAAACAAACACAATGTGCGTTAACTGCAGACTGTCAGCTTTAATTTGAGGGTATGTACATCCAACTCAGGTGAATGGTGTAGGATTTACAGCAGTTTGCATATGTGCCTCCCACTTGTTAAGGGACCAAAAGTAATGGGACAGAATAATAATCATAAATCAAACTTTCCCTTCTTAATACTTGGTTGCAAATCCTTTGCAGTCAATCACAGTCTGAAGTCTGGAACGCATAGACATCACCAGAAGCTGAGTTTCATCCCTGGTGATGCTCTGCCAGGTCTCTACTGCAACTGTCTTCAGTTCCTGCTTGTTCTTGGGGCATTTTCCCTTCAGTTTTGTCTTCAGAAAGTGAAATGCATGCTCAATGGGATTCAGGTCAGGTGATTGACTTGGCCATTGCATAACATCCACTTCTGTCCCTTCAAAAACTCTTTGGTTGCTTTTGCAGGATGCTTTGGGTCATTGTCCATCTACACTGTGAAGTGCCGTCCAATGAGTTCTGCAGCATTTGGCTGAATGTGAGCAGATAATATTGCCCAAAACACTTCAGGATTCATCCTGCTGCTTTGGTCAGCAGTCACATCATCAATAAATACAAGAGAACCAGTTCCATTGGCAGCCATACACGCCCACGCCATGACACTACCACCACCACGCTTCACTGATGAGGTGGTATGCTTAGGATCATGAGCAATTCCTTTCCTTCTCCATACTCTTCTCTTCCCATCACTCTGGTACAAGTTGATCTTGGTCTCATCTGTCCATAGGATCTTGTTCCAGAACTGTGAAGGCTTTGTTAGATGTTGTTTGGCAAACTCTAATCTGGCCTTCCTGTTTTTGAAGCTCACCAATGGTTTACATCTTGTGGTGAACCCTCTGTATTCACTCTGGTGAAGTCTTCTCTTGATTGTTGACTTTGACACACATACACCTACCTCCTGGAGAGTGTTCTTGATCTGGCCAACTGTTGTGAAGGGTGTTTTCTTCACCAGGGAAAGAATTCTTCGGTCGTCCACCACACTTGTTTTCCATGGTCTCCTAGGTCTTTTGGTGTTGCTGAGCTCACCGGTGCATTCCTTCTTTTTGAGAATGTTTCAAACAGTTGTTTTGGCCATGTCTAATGTTCTTGCTATCTCTCTGATGGGTTTGTTTTGTTTCTTCAGCCTAATGATGGCTTGCTTCACTGATAGTGACAGCTCTTTGGATCTCATCTTGAGAGTTGACAGCAACAGATTCCAAATGCAAATAGCACACTTGAAATGAACTCTGGGCCTTTTATCTGCACATTGTAATTGGGGTAATGAGGGAATATCACACACCTGGCCATGGAACAGCTGAGAAGCCAATTGTCCCATTACTTTTGGTCCCTTAACAAGTGGGAGGCACATATATAAACTGCTGTGAGTCCTACACCGTTCACCTGAATTGGATGTACATACCATCAAATTAAAGCTGACAGTCTGCAGTTAACACACATTGTGTTTGTTTCATTCCAACTCCATTGTGGTGGTATATAGAGCCAAAGATGTTAGAATTGTGTCGATGTCCCAATATTTCTGGACCTGACTGTATATTCCTGGCTTGTCTAATTTTTCTGTATGTATGATGTAGTTACTGATTTACAACAGAAATTTCAAATATCCAACAACCCTTTGAAATAAATGATTATAACTGATTCTCATTTTCCTTTCTCTTTCTATGCACACCTTGAAAAATATTGCTAAATTAAATAGAAAAAATGTATACCTTGCCCTTAAATTTCTTGAATTTTATTTTATTTTAATAATTTAAATTTTAAGCATTTGTTAAAATAATAAATGACAAATTACCAGACTGAAGATGGCTTTGGACATTAGTGAAGAACTGTTCATCAATCTGTATGCTCTCTTAGCATTGTTACAGAAATTTGCTAAGTGGGAAAATAAGCTAATAAAAACATGGTCTTTTTAATATGTGTTTAGCTGTGGTGGAATGTGACCAACAACGAAATAAAAGCACTTATCCTGCTGCCTTTTCTTTTGAGAAGCTCAAGAAATTAGCCAAGAATAATCAATCTGCCAGAACTGATCCTTCAGGTATCAACACATTTTCATCTCTGGTGTATGTGTACAATATAAATCTGGAATATTTTGTATTTGTGTATTATCCCATAAAGTAAAATTGCAAATGTAATAACGAGTTATCAAATATAAATTGCTTTGTGGTTATTTTTTTTTTTAGTTCTATATTTTCTCTCAGCCATTTTTCTATGAGATTTCAGCAGAGATTATTTTGAGGCCAGTTATTGACAACTTCATTAAATTTCAAAGAGCTGGTGTATATGATTTAAAAGAAGATCATACAATGGTCATCATGCCTTTAAAAAAATTGTCTGATAGTGAGGATTTGATGATTTATATGATAGTGAGAAAGTTTATAATGTTATGATTGGAGGTGGTAACATTCATGGTCTTTTATATCTTGGGTGGTATTGATATTCCCTCAGCTTTGTGCAAAGGGTGAACATATAATACTATTGACTTCAGAGGGGGATATTAAAATATAGATTTTTAGTTGTTTCTAAAGTTCAACTGGCCACAATCCCCTATGATGCAGATTCTTACTGCTTTTTCCTTGTAGAACATGGGCAGGGTCATTTGGAGCAAGCTAAAACAGTTCCACAGAGCAATCAAAATGATGTTCATCTAGAGAAGGCTGTGGAAGTTACCCATACTGATCAGCCCATCATTATCTGTGAAAGTGCCAATTCCCAAGTGGATATGAAGAAAAAAACTCGACGGGGCAGGAAAGCCAAAGGAGCAAAAGTAGAAACACCTCTTGTGATTGTGGATGATAAAGATTCTACTGGTGAGACTAGGAAAAGTAATCTCCATACTTTATGTTTGATGTTTGATTCAGTAACAATGAAATAATTATTCTAGAATGGCAAGTGTTTAGTAAAGGAGTGAGCCATGGAGAGCTTCATCTTCCACCTTGTGATGTAATTGCATTAGGGAACTCGTGAGAAAGGCAGTGGCAGAAAATGAGGCAATGCATGGAGATGCAGGAGAGAGTCAAAGAGATGCACTGGGGTGAGTGAGTGGCTGGATCAAGTGCAAAAGAGCTGAGGGAGGTGTGTAGAAGAGGAAGAGTCATCCCAGCAGTTTGTGATCTTCCCTGCTGGCTTCCACATGACCATAGGGCACTTGGTAACAGTTGTTCAGTGTCATTGTAACTTGGAGGAATGTGTAAGTAACTTGGAGGAATAATTGTAGGTTGTTGACTCTCTGGATAGCAAAACTTGTGGATAAATGCAGCTGGCTTAATGTAGGTCTAATAATTGCTCCACCTATCTCAGAATTATCTTTTCTAGCTGATTTTAGCTTTCTAGACTCTTGGTCAAATCAATTTTTTTTTACCAAAACAGGCATGACACTGGCAATCTATAATTATGTATCCTGTCACTTTTTTTCCCACTTCCACATATGAAACAGGTATAATATGCAAGTTCCATAATTTGGAACTTCTGAGTTCCAAAATTTCTGAGTTCAAAGTTTCTTCGGGGATTCTGAAATTCATTTTAAGTGATATCAAGGGATAACATTAAGTTACATTTCTCAAAACCTAAATTGTTTCCAAAACTTGTGGCATTCCCAGCATACTGAATTCCAGCTTGCAGGAATTCACTATAGCACGACTGGTGCCGAAAGTTCTGGTTCAGCTATTTTTAATTTTCATTATTTTAGTTCTCTCACAGAATGTTTGACAATTTGTTCACCTTTTGTACTGTGTAATATAAAATTACTGAATGGATAACTTAACTAACAAAAATAAATATCCTAAAAATGGCTTTGTGCTGTACCTTATTGTCGCATATTTACTATTCATGTTATAGTAATGGAATGTCAGTAATTAAAGGGCTATTATAATGTACAGCCAGATTACACATCGTTAAAAGTAGTCCCTACATTTCTATTTGAATAATGGTCTTATCTGTGTATCAGTTACAAAATGCCACTATGTACAATAGACAAAATAGCATTAAGATTATAATCATGCTTATACTTATTTTCTGAGTAAACATATATATGAATCAGCTTTGAGTTAACTTGGGTATAGATGAACAAATTCAATCAGTTTTTTTAAATAATATGCTTATTTTTTTCATAATTCATTGGTTTTTTTCTTGGTAGCAGTGAACTCAGTGGACCATGTGGCTGAAATTATTACTGAGGTCCCACCTGATGACACAGCGATTCCTTCAGCAGCAGAAGATCAAATTATGGAGCTGATGTTAGCGAAGCTACCCAGTACTGCAAACAACATGAGTTCATTAACAAAGTAAGCTTTCCCTGCAAAGAAAAAAGTCCTGCTTTCTTATGATAACTCTGCTAGATATCAATCACTTATGATGATCATGAAGTGGAGGACATGTGGAAAAAGCTTATTGGAAAAAAGATACCTTGCCATATTAAATATAGTGGAACATGGAAATGAATAAATATCTTGTTATCTATAATGACAATGAATAAATTGGCATACTTATACTGACATTGAATACCAGTAGTCCTTGACTTATGACCACAATTTAGGCCAAAATTTCTGTTGCTAAGTAAGACATTGGTTAAGTGAGTTTTGTCCCATTTTATAAGTTCTCTTGCCATAGCTGTTACAGGAATCACTGCAGTTTTTAAGTTAGGAACATGGTTGTTAAGTGAATCCCCATTGACTTTGCTTGCCAGAAGATCACAAAAGACGATAACATGACTCCAGGACCAGAGGTGGGTTTCAACAGGTTCTGACCAGTTCTGGAGAACCGGTAGTGGAAATTTTGAGTAGTTCAGAGAACTGGTAGTAAAAATTCTGACTGGCCCCGCCCTCATCCACTCTCTGCCTCCCAAGTCCCAGCTGATCGGGAGGAAATGGGGATTTTGCAGTAACCTTCCCCTGGATTGGGGACGGAATGGTGATTTTACAGTATCCTTCCCCTGGAGTGGGGTGGGAATGGAGATTTTACAGTATCCTTCTCCTGCCATGCCAACCAACCCACGCCCACTAAGCCATGCCACACCCACAAAACCGGTAGTAAAAAATTTTGAAACCCACCACTGCCCAGGACACTGCAATTGTCATAAATATGAGTCAGTTGCCATGGGGATGCTAAAACAATTGTAAGTGTGAAAAACAGTCATTAAACAGTCACTAAATGGACTGTTGTAAATTGAGGACTATCTGCAAATTGGCAATCTGCTTATTTAGGTATATAAATATCAACTTACATTTGTGATAAAAGGTTATCCACAGGGAGACCTAAATAGCTTTTCTCAGTATGGCATCCTGCAGATGTATTGGGAATGAAAAACTAGTTCTAGTTAGCAGTCAGTGCCAATATATGCTGATTTATTTTTATTTTTGCTCATTACTGCTTTCTTTTTAATCTGTTAGGTTTCCTCACCATCAGAGCTCTGTATCCCTTAAGAGAAGCTTAATCCTTTCCAGCCGACACGGGATTCGACGCAAGCTGATCAAGCAGCTTGGGGAACACAAGAGGGTGTATCAGTGTAGTATCTGCAGTAAAATGTTCCAAAATAGTAGCAATCTTAGTCGACATATCCGCTCTCACGGTAAATTTCAATTTAGCTGGATTCTTCTTTTACAAAGCTAATTATTGGTGGAAGAGAAATCTTTAATCCAGCATACAAAAAGCAGAGAACATTTGGAAGCTGAAGCAATAATTATATAGATCAACTGCATGTATACGTGGCTTAGGATAAAGGGATGGTAAAATAATTTGTCAGCTCCCAGGAGGAACACTTGTTTGTTTCAGAGACATTGAGCAAAGGAATTTGCAGGACCTGTATAGATTTTCTAATTTCAGCAATCCTCAATTTCTGCTCTTTTAAGTAATTAGGAATATACCACCGACAATCGGATTTTTAAAACAGTTTACAAAAGCATACTGTTCATAATTAAAGGTTCTCTAATCTCAGGCTAAATATACACTGCTAAATTTTGGAAGCCATTTGAGACCAAGTTGATTTACTTTATCTAACCTAACCATTTCATAATTTTTGGTTTACATGTTATTAACTTTTCCTAAATTTTCCAGCTTTCTAAAAATAATGAGTGTTTTTAATTGGTCCTTTAGGTGACAAACTATTCAAATGTGACGAATGTGGTAAGCTTTTTAGTCGAAAAGAGAGTTTGAAGCAACATGTTTCATACAAACACAGTAGGAATGAGGTTAGTATGGTACTTCTTCATTTATGAAACAGAAACGGATTATGCATAGACATTGGTCAATTTCATACAAAGCCAAGAAAGAAGATAAATTGCAAAAAATAATCCCTTTCCATGCTGACAAGGCAGAAAAATCGCAGTTCTTTTAAAACAATTCTTTTTCCTTTTTTCAAACATTTTATAAGAATGTTTCTTGTTGCTCTTAATGAAAGAGAAATAAAATGTATCTATTGTGTATGTATGTATGTATTTTTAATATTCTTAAATATTAAATCCCTCAGAGAAGGGCTCTGGGCAGTGTACAATATAATCAAAATCAATCATTAAAATCAGAATAATTTAGGATTTTTTTTAAAAAATATAAAACATAAAAATTTCAAAAGGTGAAAAATTCTAAGATGGTGGATTAACAATTGCTAATACAGGCGGGGGTTTCTCATGCGGCCAGCTACCCCATGGTTATGTGGGCTCATGTGTCCCTCACGCAGGGCTACGCAGCCAGGTTTTGACCCCTTTGTGGAAGGCCAGAAGATTGGGGGCTTTCCTTACCTCTGAGGGTAAGATGTTCCACAATGCAGGGACAGCAGCAGAAAAGAGCCTCTTTCTTGACCCCACCAGTCGAAATTCTCTGACTGACGAGGTCGGTAGCATGCCCTTCCCTGCCTGAACAAGTGGGTCAGGGTGATGGGATGGAGCTAAGCTGGTTCTTAGGTAACCTGGCCCATGCCATGTATGGCTTTATAACTAATGACCAACACTTTGAATTGGACCCGTAAGCAAACCAGCACCCAGTGCAATTTACAGAGCAAGAGTGTTATATGTGCTCTTCTTAGGGCACCCAATATGGCTTGTGTGGCCGCACTCTGCACCTGCTGAAGCTTCCAGATTCTTTTCAAGGGTAATTTTATGTAGAGCACATTGCAATTGTCCAATCAGGAGATGACCAGGGCATGAGTGACTGACCGGAGCCCCTCTTTTTTCTCTCTATTCTTAAATCCTTACAGTAGAGAAGCAACTTACATAGGCATTCTCTTTCTGCATGTGGGAGGCTTATGTAGATGGCCCTTCCTCTCTGCTTTTCACTCTCTCTCTCTTTTGACAGGGAGTTCCATTTTATCATCCAGCTATGATATCCTCCCAGGGACCATAGACTAGATGCGTAGTTATTTTGCCTCCATATAAATCTGGGACTTTTACTGTTACAAAAGAGCCTCAAAAATCTTTGTGCAAAGCTTCCTTCTGATTTAAAGGTGTCTGATTTTCCTTGAGATTATTTTTAGGCAAAGTTCTATTATGGAAACAAATTAAAAACCAGTACAAGTAGTCCTTGACTTACAACAGTTCATTTACTGACCATTCAAAGTTACGATGGCACTGAAAAAGTGACTTACGACTGTTTTTCATACTTTGACCTTTGCACCATCCCCATGATCATGTGATCAAAATTCAGATGCTTAGCAACTGGTTCATATTTATGATAGTTGCTGAGTGCCAAGGTCATGTGATCATCTTTTGCGACCTGACAAGCAAAGTCAATGGGGAAGCCAGATTCACTTAACAAACGGGTTACTAACTTATCAACTGCAGTGATTCACTTAGCAACTGTGGCAAGAAAGGTCATAAAATGAGGCAAAACTCACTTAACAAATGTATCACTTAACAACAGAAATGTTGGGGTCAATTGTGGTTGTAAGTCGAGGATTACCTGTATTTTAAAAGAATAAATTATGACATATTTCTTGTGCCGCCTCTAGGTTAACAATGAATACAGATACAGATGTGCTACATGTGAGAAAGCTTTTCGGATAGAAAGTGCATTAAAGTTCCACAACTGCAGGACAGGTATGATAACAATCAGGTAACTCTGATTTATATGAAATTATGTGGTTGTACCGGGATGGCCAGAACTTTGAGGCCCAGTCATAACTCATTCAATGCTGCATAAATTTCAGTGGTTGCTGAACAAGTGTGCTGCCCCATTCACTCACACACACAACTAACTGTGGTTTAGGTGAGTTTGTTAATGTTCCCCAGCAATTCCCTTCACTAAGACTCAGAGCTGTCCCAATTAAGTCCAGCCACAAGCAGGCCAAGATTAGTCCACAAAGCAATGGCCCAAGTCCATAAAGCACTTGAAAGTTGCTCAAACAAATAACTCCACCAAATAAACTTAAATCCACCAGGCAAAACTTAAATCCACATATGAGAGCTCACTTGGCAAGAAAAGTTCAGAGTCTCCAAGGCACAATTCCAAACACCGCGTCAATCCAGGGTGAAGCAGGAATCATGACGATCAAACAGACAGCTAGAAAACCAACACTTTGTTCCTAGCAATGCCTCCCTGTGTATGCTGTGATAATGTTGTGGCCCGCCAGCAGCCTGTGCGGATTGTTGCTGATCCCGACGACAAGGAGGCTGGTGTGGTGTTGCACCAGCAGCCTGTGCAGCCGGCACTCGAGTCGGACAGCGAGGAGGCTGAAGAAGATGTGGTGCCAGAGGCAGGGATTCAGTCAGGGCCTTCAGAACCTCCAGAGGCTCCTTTAAGTGAAGAGGTTGAAGAAGAGGAGCCTCTTCTCAATGCACGGGCACGCAGAGCTGCCAAAAGGAAGAAGTGGTTCCTCAGGAGGAGGTCTCCTCGAGAGTAAGGCTTGGGGCTAATTGGCCACTCCCTTTAGAAAGAACGCAGCTTGCAACAAGCTGCAGGAAACAACTTTAGTTCGCTAATCATCGCGTTGGGATTTTGCTGCAACCTTGCTTCTGGGCTTTCTGCCAACTCCAGTAAGACTCTGCCTATCTTATATGTGGAATTCTGGCAGGCTGTTAAGAACGCTTATTAACAGCTGGCATTTGCTAAAACTGTTATTTGAGTAAACTAAGTTTTGTCCAGAGTTTGTGTGTGCTGTGTTCTTTGGGATCCGTAGTTGGGGCAGAACAGATAACCAGCTTTCTGGTATAGCCCATAAAGAGGGGCGGGGCCTTTTCCTCTCGAGTAGCTTGGCTGACCTCCGTTGCTCCTGCCTTTTCTCTGCCCTGCATGTTTTCAAATCAGGTGCAGAAGGCAGTTCCTCCTCCTCTTCGTTTGACTATCTGCCACTGCAAGCTTTCCCCATCTGAAGCCTCCTCCAATTCTCTTTCGGTCAGCCGTTCAGAGACATTAATTAACTCACTTCCTGATATACCAGGAATGGGCTCATCCTCCCTTGAGCTGACCTCTGAAGCGGAATCTGTGGAGTCATCCAAGGAAGACGTCACAACAAGTGTTTGTTAACCAAGAGCTACTTGTGTGTCTTAATTTTCATAGCCAGCTAAAATGTGAATAATCTACAGATAATTTCATCCAAGTGAGATTTCAGATGATGCTTTATTGGTTATATCCTCATTCTGTCTTTTTTTTACTAGCTGAATTATATGTTGTGTTGTTGTTTTCTTTAATTTTAAAATTTTACAGTATGATCACTTTGAATCTGGTTGTTTTATAGCATAAGACAGAGAAAGCTGCTTCCTCTGTTTTAGAAATTGCTCCTGTAGATGTGTACAGGTAGTCCTCGACTTACAATAGTTCATTTAATGACCATTCAAAGTTACAACGGTACTGAAAAGTGACTTATGGCCATTTTTCACATTTATGACCATTGCAGAATCCCCATGATCACATGATCAAAATTCAGATGCTTGGCAGCTGACTCATATTTATGAAGGTTGCAGTGTCCCAGGGTCATGTGATCACCTTTTGCAATCTCCTGAGAAGCAAAGACAATGGGAAAGCCAGATTCACATAACAACCATGTTATTCACTTAACAACTGCAGTGATGCACTTAAAAACTGTGGCAGGAAAGGTTGTAAAATGGGGCAAATCTCACTTAACAAATGTCTCACTTGGCAACAGAAATTTTGGGCTCAATTGTGGCTGTAAGTCAAGGACTACCTATGTGATTTTTAAAATCATATAAATTAAATTTAGAATTGTTAATCTCCCTTTCTTTCAGATGATAAGACATTTCAGTGTGAGATGTGTTTCAGATTCTTTTCTACAAACAGCAATCTTTCAAAACATAAAAAGAAACATGGGGACAAAAAATTTGCCTGTGAGATTTGCAATAAATTATTCTACCGAAAGGATGTGATGTTGGATCATCAGAGGCGGCATTTGGAAGGTAAGTACATTTGTGATTAATGTCTTAAGATTAATGTGCTTGAGTCTGTGATTGGGACTTTCCGTACTCAAGTTGTCAATTCAGTTGACAACTACTCAAAAGGTTGGTAGTTTTTGATGTAGTAATGATCTACTATAAAAGATTACAAGAAAGCTGTGAACCATTCAAGGATAACTATTTTCTAAAGCTATTATCTAAGTTACTGATTTGTTGTCTGAGCTTAAAGATTGTTCACAAAATCTCTTTTGATGTTATAATTTATTACATGTGATTGAACTTAGAAAGTTTTTGGGAAATTACTTTTTATTTTTGTTATGCTGGAAACATCCAAACTTACTTTTGTTTATAACCTATAATGTGTTCCCATTGCTTCTTTAATAAGCATAGTGATGTTGAAATAAAATGTGCATATTCTCACACAGATGCTATGATTACACATTCGTATCATGACAGCTGATGTTAGCATGTGTGTTCCAACATTTGCATGATAAAACCACACATTTTCATCTTGCAGACATATATAATTTCTTCTTTTTTTTCTTCATATAAATCCTTAGGGAGGGAAAGACACATCAAGACAAGTGTCTTGATTTAGCACAAGGATTCATCTGTTTGGAAACTCTTTCCAGGGAACTAGCTATCTTAGTAAAACAAGGATTTTATGGACTAGATTGTAGTCCAGTTAATCAGCTTCACAAAAGCTTGTGCTGTGATAATTTCATAATTTGAAATTATTAGTCTTTAAGGCAACTAAAAGACATCTTAGATGTCTGGAAACAACTTGTTTCTCTTCTTGTCATTAAAGTCAGAGTACAATAATTTCTTGAATGCTAAAAGAAAGGAGCAAAATGTTTATTACAAGGCACCACTTTGCTTCTATTACATATTATTTCTATAGCCATTCTGGGTGTGTCTTGGGGAATCACATCATGTTCTCCAATGCTTGAGTCATTGCAAGAGCCTGGAAAAGTCCCTTCATCATTTTTTGTATTGCTGTATAACAAGTGACTGTGAAATTAAGTCAGAAGGAGCTACTTTTCTGCTGAAATCAGTGTTTGAAATAAACCAATTAAAGTTGCACTTTAAAAGTATGGCAAAGATGGTACAGCTGGCTGAGGCAAAAATAGGAATATAAAGATAATTTTTGATTATTCAATAGAAATGTATAGAATTAAATAAAGAGTCAACTATATATATATATATATACAATCATGTAAATATGTGAATGTAGATATAGATATGAATAGAGAAAAATAAGAGAAATACGAAAATAACCCACCGTTGTAGTAACTTCTAAGAGTCAGTCATGGGACTGAATTGATGTTTGTTCGTTTTGTATGTTGTCTTCATGTATTTATGTTTGTTTGTATTTTTTTTATTATTAATAAAAATCTTTAAAAAAAAAAAGAATTTGATACGAACATAACCCTTGTTTACAACATATTGTTTACAATTTGTTCTCCTGGGTAAAAGCTTAGATTATTATCTTCTAATTATTCTAATCAAAAAGGAAAAACAGAAAAACTGATAATACATTTTTAGAATGATTTAAGTGTTTATTACTATTTTAGCTTCTATAATAAAGGTGTAATCCTTGCTTTAGCCAAGAGTGTTTTTCAGTACATGAGTAATTGTTTAAGTAATTTGTTGTTCTAATATAGAGAGTAATGACAATCCAGATCAGGGTGGGCAATTGATTCTCCTCCAGCAAATGAAGAACTGCAGTTTATAACATCTCTTACCACTGGCTTCTTGGATAAAGCTGCTGGAAGTTGTATTCAAATCAGGAAGATAATAGCTTCTGTTGAGCTAGGAAGTTCTATAGGAATTGAACCAATGCACTGCAATGAATAGAGTCAGAATTGTGTGCGGCAGACAAAAATTAAACCATGTCATTTCAGCACATAGTCTTGGGTAAGGCTTTATCTCTCAGTCCAATCTGTGCACAGACAAACAGCACAGCTAAATCAATTATGTAGAGTGTGTTATTTTGTTATTGTTACAGCTTTTATTGTTTGGATCACATTAGTAATATATAGATTGTTAAAGAAAAAATTGGAAATCATGGTTCTGTGTTCTTCTCTTGCTGGGAATTGTTACTTTAAGGAGTGAGACGGGTTAAAAGAGAAGAATTCGAGCACAGTGCAGAGAATATGGTCCGCTACAAGAAAGAGCCTTCCAGATGCCCAGTGTGTGGAAAGGTAGGATTTCCCATTGACCATAATTAGTGTGTGTGGGGAGGGGACGGGTAGATGTTAGAGATAAGTTCATGCAAGGGAGTAACAGCTTTGTTACACTGATTCAGTATTTATGATCATTAAACTGGTACACCAGATGTAGTTGTGCAAAAGCCTCTTGGCCTTAGATTCCATCTACTATTCTAGTCTGAGCCATGTGTCGAAGAACTCCCAGATTGCAAACTATCTCCAAGTGAGGGAGTTCTACTTCTGCCAGATCTAAGGTATAGATTTAGACTATCTCCCGCGTTGTTTCCAAAGCCATTCCCATCTTCCTAAAATTAATCTTAGGCCTGTTTCTCCATCAGATCCCAACAGCTTCTGAGCATCAAGGATTAGCTACCCCTTGTCTTAGCCCAGGATGGTGATGAACAGCAGAGTATCATCTGTTCATTCTTTGCTCTTGGTTGTTAGTTGCTGCATGTAATATTAAATAGTAGCAGGGAAAGGAACAAGATTTATGGTACCTCATAGCAGAGCACCCAAGGAATCTACCTTCCATTATCTCTTTGGGGTCACCTATAAAGACTATCCAGAAACTACAGGTGATCCTGAAGTGTAGTGGCCTCATTTCTAGTAGGTGTAGTGTTTGTAGTACCAATGTCATATCACAGTAGGTTATTTTGATAAAACCCACTACTGTATGTTTTGAGTTATTGGTATTTGTATTGTATTGTATTTAAGATAAATAAGGAGATAGATTTTATTAAATCAATTCTGCTGAATTTTTGGTAATTTATAAATGAAATCATTGAAATAAATTGAGAAAATGTGAATAATTTTTATCAATATTTTTTGTCTCCAGATTTTTTCATGCAGAAGTAATATGAATAAGCATCTTTTGACCCACGGAGATAAGAAATATACATGTGAGATTTGTGGCCGTAAATTTTTCAGAGTCGATGTTCTGAGAGATCATATTCATGTTCATTTTAAGGTACAATATTTAGCTGTGTGTAATAGTTTTATGCCAGGCTGAAGCTCAGCAGGAGTAGGAAGAAGTTCCTCAGAAATACTGAGGAAACATTGAAAGTGAGAATGCTTGAATGACCATTGATGAACTGTTTAACGACAGATGAAATTGCAAATTAGGAGAAGGTTCCTCCCAAAAGTTGTTTTTAGAAGCTTATAAAAACTAACAAACAGGAAGGTAATCTGATCTCCACAGGAAAACTGTTATACAGTCATCATACTGCAACAGAAAAACTGTCTCTTTGCTTTAGCCTCCAATCCTACTGAAAGTTTGAGACTTGCAGTAGTTTCTCCCTGCTAGATATAATTGGTTGGTCTGAAGTCGGTTGAAGACGCTCAACCAGGAAGGACTTTATAGGTCAAAATTAGCACCTCCAATTGGCAACCAATGTAGAATCTGCAAAACTGGTGTTCTGTGCTCCTAATATGAAAGCATATGGACTACTGCATTTTGAACCAGCTGCAACCCAAATAGAGCACATTACCATAGTCCAGCTGGAGACTAGGATGCTGATGTATCAGCAGAAATTCTAACTTGCTAGGGTTCAACTTCAGTCTGTTCTCTCCCATCCAGACCCTGACAGCCTCCAAGCACCAGGAAAGAGAGAACATGATCTCCCCCATGGCCCAGGGTGAGGATGCACAGCTAAGTATCATCAACATATTGATGATACCACACTCCAAAAGATCGCATGACATGTCCCAGCAGCTTGATACAGATGTTTGTTTATTTATTTACCTATCCAATTTATGTTGAAAATCAGGGGAGATAAGACTGATCCTGCAGCACCCCACAAGTCAGGAACTACTAGGCCAATCTTTACTCGCCCACCAATACAGATTGGCCCAGAATCTCCCACTAAAGAAAATAGCTTCAACTCTCAATCCTTGCAGGTGGTCCAAAAAGATACCATAGTCAATCAGCATAAAAGTCAACAAGAGATCTAAGGACTATCTCATCCAGGTCCTGAGACAGGTCATCCAGGAGAATGACCAATGCTGTCTCCATCCCCAAACCAGGCCTAAACCATGACTGAAAAGGGCCCAAATAATCTGCTTTCTCTAGAATAACTATAATTTAACATCAGAGACAAAAATATATGAGGCAACAAAACATGTAAGCTGTTTTTTCAGAGGTTTTATGAAAACATTACAGAGTAATTACAATAGCATAAGCTTCCTTTTGGGTTGAATAAGACATTTCATTTGAACCATCCTCTATACAGGACATAGCAATAATGGATGACCACCAGAGAGAAGAGTTTATTGGCAAAATTGGAATCTCTTCAGAAGAAAATGATGACAACTCAGATGGAAGTGTGGATTCTGAGCCCCACAAGTATAGCTGCAAAAGGTGCCAGGTAGTTTTACTCCTTTCAACATTTTGGGGTGGGATTGGTTGAAAGTGCCATGAAAAGTGTTGAAGATAGTGAAAAAAAATATTCCAACATATTTCCTGATCCAGAGGTCTCTACGGTATGTTTTATTGAACACATAGATTTCTTGCACATGCAAGCTTTTGCTTTTCAGTAATGATAGGTCTTTGCATGCAAAAAGGATACATTTTGCCTCTATTGAAATAAAAAGATGTACTGTAAACAAGAAATCTTTATACATGTATTGTCATCATTGAATTAAAATATCATTGGAATCTTTGTATCTGGTGGCAGGACAACAGATTTGGCCAGTAGACACCCTTAGTGTAGATCGTAAGTTCTCCAACAGAACTTTAAATTGTTTCTCAAATATAAATAGATTGTGAATAGTTTTAACTAAATGTCAACTATATTACTAAAAAGGCATTATTTTAAAAAAGGCATGTTCACAAATCAACAGCAATCCACTCTTAAATAGAATCTTCATTTAATGTCCCTAATTGGGACCAGAATTTCTGTCACTAAACAAAGTGGTTGTTAGACAAAATGTTGCATGATCGTATTGTCATTGCAACAGCCATAACTTTGAGGACTGGTCATGACTACCATTTGTTCAGGGCCATCGTAACTTTGAATGGCCATCAAATGAATGGTGATTAAGTGAAGACTACTTACGTATATATTCCACTTCCATTATATTTTCTGCTATATTTTTAATACGTATTTTTGTGGAAGAATTTTTGCAACAACACAAAAAACAAACTAAACAAGTTAGACATGAGAATGTTTTTTTATCATAGTAATTAATATCCCTAGCTTGTAATGATACATATCTTCTTAAGTGTTGTGCATTCACTGCTGTTTCATTTTTCAGTTAACGTTTGGCCGAGGTAAAGAGTACTTGAAACACATCATGGAAGTTCACAAAGAGAAGGGTTATGGTTGTAGCATCTGCAACAGGCGCTTTGCTTTGAAGGCAACTTACCATGCTCATATGGTCATACATCGGGAGAACTTACCAGACCCCAATGTGCAAAAGTAAGCAAAAAAAAATCTAATAGAGCTAAATTAAGTGCACTCTTAACAGCTTTGCCTGGGTAAATGTTGCATGCAAGCAGTTTCATAAACTTAAACTGGTGAAACTTTAACAAGCTAAAGAGAGGGGAATGATGCACTGTAAAACTGGCTTGGTTTTATTTTTACTTAAAGTTATTTATTTATCTCTCAAAAAGAATTTTGCAAATTCCTGGTAGCAACCAGTTTCCTTGTCATAGAAGAGGATATTGTTTGAAAGATAGTATAATCAGTAAGAGAGCCAATTTGGTGTAGTGGTTAAGGCAACAGACCAAAAACAAGGAGACTGTGAGTTCTAGTCCATCCTTAAGCAGGAAGCCAACTGACTGCCGTTGAGCCAGCCACTCTCTCTCAGTCCTAGAAAACAAGCTATGGCAAACCTCTTCTCAAAGCTTGCCAAGAAAACTGCAGGGACTAATTCAGACTAGAAGGCATAAAAAAACTGTCATAACAATAGCAGCAATATAAAATGGAAAATGCTTCTTCATTTGATTCTGTCAAGACATTGTGACTAGAGTATGCCTCAGAAATAGCCTCGGGAAACGTCTCTATGTGAAGGGAAGGAGAAAAGAATGAGACATAGCCGCAGACATTTCCAGGGCAGGAATCCATGGAGGAACTATATTTTTGAGAGTGCCAAGACAGCCTTTTTCACATCAACATCTTGCTAGATATAGTGGGACTAGAACTCCCAAAGGACATGTGGTGGAAAATATGGGGATTGAGGTCCCTATAAATACTATGTTAAAGAAGGCTGAGTTAGATAGGGAAATTTACTGAAATGCACAGTTCCAAGTGGTATAGTTATAGCCATGGTATAGTTATAATAAGGTATTTTCAATATTTATTTTCAAATAAAAAATTATTCTTAAAAAAATCTTAGAAGTTGATCCTTATTTCCCATTTTAGATATATTCATCCATGTGAAATCTGTGGAAGAATTTTTAACAGCATAGGAAATTTAGAACGACATAAACTTATTCATACAGGTAAACTCATTCTATTTCTTCTTTCTGATAAATATAAATAAATAAATCTATAATTCTATAAATAAATCCTATAATTGGGAAAAGCCAATGAATATTGATTTTTTAAAAAAATTGAAACTCTTCTGAATACCTACATTTTGCTGGTAGTGACTAGAAGGATATTTATACATTAGACAAAGCTCATGCAAATTATAACAGAGGGGCAGTTCAGTCTTTGCTGAATATTATGTTTTGAAGTGGTAACATTCTCCATATTTGTTGCTTTTGTTCTGTTCAAGTCATCCTTGCAAGGTGGAGTGTATGGGTGGGTGGTTCTCAACAGTCCAGAGGAAAAACTGCTGTAGCTGGACAACTGAGAAGAATTGGCTTTCCCTTCTCTAACACCTGTTTCAGTTGAATATTCCATCTGGATTCCATCCAGAATAGAAACCTATTGTGGTCATTTTTCTGCCCTCCAACTTAGTATATTCAACATTTTAAAATATCTTATTTGCTTTAGTCATTCTGATACTGTATTTTTTAATCTTTCCTTCCTCCCCCTCTCATAACGAGTATTCTTTTACTTTCACTTGTATCTTGCCACACCTTAAAATTCTTTCCTCTGTTCAGTTTTGTAACTAATAAAGGACACTTAGATTTCCTTGTATTTGCCTCTGCCTTATTTCACATAATTTTTTTCAATCTTTTTTGAGAGAATAGGAAGGATTTTGGTTTTTTTAATTTAAGGGGACATTTTTGTTTGTTTTCTTTTTATTATTAAAGAAATTAAAAATATGATTTTTTTGTGAAGGGGTGAAAAGTCATGCTTGTGAACAATGTGGCAAGTCATTTGCAAGGAAGGACATGTTAAAAGAACACATGAGAGTCCATGATAACATCCGAGAATATCTATGTGCAGAATGTGGTAAAGGTATGGCATGAAAATATGAATTTCCATGGCTATTTAAATTAAATTATTTTTTTTCACAAAATACTAAAATTGATTAAAACTGATGTTGATGCATTCTTGGTTCAGGTCTGCTCTTAATGGAATCTCAGCCACAGAGTTGGCCTTAACATTAGGCAGAGTTAGATGGCCACTTCAGAAAGCTGACATTAGGTATGTGCCAGCTATTAATCATAACAATTAATATCATTGTAGACATACAAGAAAGGAAGCTGTTCCTGTTCCAGGAACAAACCCTCAAAATAGGAAGAGAATCGTAGTATTTAGAAGACTGTCCCTTTTGAAACTAGCATGTTTGCAGGCCATGATTATTATAGTTTTGGACATGTTCCCATTGACCTGTCTCTACTGCAGATTGCAGATGGCTCCCTTTCCGGTTTCAGGATCAGATTCTTAGCAGAACTCACTTGTGTGTAGTACTGCTAAAGAAGATAATTTAAATCCTGTGCTGGTGGTTAGTCCCAGTCAGTCTGGCACTAACCAGGAGGAATAGAAGATGGCCATAAATGCCAGTCTAAAAGTATGGGCAGCTCACTTACAAAACAGGACTCGGCATAGAACATAGCCTCATTATGAATCATCTGGTCATCTAACTAGACCGAAGAGCAGTACCACTAATCCTAAAATTGGACTTGGGCCAGGTGAAAAAGTACCTCCAACTGGTGTAAAATGGCAAAATTACAACTAGAACCATTGAAATAGTTAGGATGAATCAAGTTGAAGGGCCTTCAGTGTCCATATCAGTGAAATATACAAAACACATTGCTTATCACATCTCCAAATTGGCTAAATCATCAACATCTGTTGCAGAATAGGCTGTCCATCTGATTTTCATGAAACCTCAACAAACAGCAATGTCCCTCTCACTTTGGCCATGACAGTGAGCTCTTCTTAGTCCCAGAGCAAGAGGAGATTGTTACGTTTTTGACGCTCTGGGCAAAAGGATGACTCTGGCCCATTCTCACCTTTTTTAGTTCTCTCCATGGTACAACATAAATTAAACTGCTTGAGGCATCGTAATTATACTTATTTTGAATTCACTCCAGTATAGTAGTATTTACTCTTCCTATTTTTCTTAGCAAATCTGATAATAGAGATTTTTAAAAATCATTTTCTAATGTATTATGTCTATTGTGTGTTATGCTATAAGCCACTTGGAGTCATACGTTGAAGAGACATAAAAGCATTTGTCATGCTTACATACATACTGTATAATGAGCTTACATGGAGTTTCAGCAGTCAAGACCATCTTGAGTAACCAGTCACTTGGTACATCTTTGAATGGTCCTACAAAAGGCACGGAATTTGTGGCACTAACAGCAGAAGTCCTTAAGTACCCCCTGCACATTCTTTCCTAGAAATCAGCCCACTGAAAGTCCTAATTTAATCTTTGACACTGGAAAAGTTGGGGAACTCTCAGAGGGATATATGCATATCTCTACAAACAGGAAATCAGGAGAGTTGAAGTTCCCACTCAACAATTTACAGATAGGTTAGAAAATACATTATCACAGCCAGCAAAATGCCACATCCCATTTTCTGTTTCATAGCATTTTCTGTAGAAGGGCAACTGCATCAGGAGCCTTCTTGGCTGACTACTGTTAATAAATACTTATAGAGTAACTCTGGGTTAAAATCACTTTTGTAAAGCATTGTAAAATAGATTCGTTTGTCTTCAGACTCCGATTTTGTCTGCATTGGGTCACAGAGTGGTATAAATTACATGTATCCCATGAATATTGCTCTGAAGGTCTCTTTCTTGCCAGCTCCACCTTCAATGAATGAGAACATCAATTACATATATTATGGAGTACCTTTTTGATCTTCAGAAGATCAGCAGTCTCACCCTATTTAGAAGAGGAAATAGATTAAGACCAGGTGGCCCAAGGATAGAGATAAGTCTAACTGCTGTTTTTCTTGCATGATAGGGTCAAACCCATCCTCAATTGTAGAGTCTTAGTAGATAACTTCAGGACAGTTACTCATTCTTAGCCTAACCTACTTCCCAGGATTGTTCTGGGAAAAAACTGGAGGAGAGGGTGCTATGTAGGCTACCCTGAGCTCTTGGAGGAAGGCAAGATATAAATGTAACAATAAATAAAATATAACTAAATGAGCTTAATATGACTTGCCCGCCATGTTTTAGCATAGAGTTTATTTTTTGCAGGAATGAAAACAAAGCATGCATTGCGACACCACATGAAGCTGCATAAAGGGATAAAGGAGTACGAATGTATGGAATGCCATCGGAAATTTGCACAGAAAGTCAACATGCTTAAACATTATAAAAGGCACACAGGTGAGCCTCATTGATAAGTGCTTCGTGGATCCTGCAGAGAATGAGTTAAATTGCCTGGAAGTTGTTGGGCTTTAAATTAAAATGTCAGTTCATTTTTATGGCACTTATACTCCAGGTATCTTCAGGAGTAGATAGTTGTTCCTAGGAAATGTCCGAAGAGTTTGAGCTGCTATATTTTTGACATGGCTACACACACACACACACACACACTGTGTGTGTAAAGATTATGGTTAACATTCTTCAGCCAAATATAATTCTACCTAACATATTTTATCTTTCTGGAAATAAATATTTTTATTTTCCACTAGAACATAAGTAAAGTGATGCATTGAAATATACATAATATATTCACACCAAAACACACCAAATAACAAAAACAATAATTAAAGCCAGTTTAAAGTAATACATTTTAGCATATTTGCTAAACTTCAGAGAATAGATTGAAAGAAGTAAAAAAAAGGCTTGCTAACATAAATGGAAGAACCGATTACAAAAAGCTGAAGGATATTTGGATTTTTGAAACATGTTAGAGAATCCTCCCCTCCCCCCTCCGCCCCCCAAAGATTTGTTCCCCTGCCAACAAAACATGGTCCATTCTTTGGAGAAAGAGATCCAGTCTAAAAAGACAAACTGCTTATCTGCAGAAATCATATCCTACAAAGTTGAACTTTGGGTTTATTGTCCTTCATCATGCTAAATTCAACATTGCCAGTTCAGTCCTGAGACTTGTTTCTCGTGAAACAATAAATGAGCAAAAGCAGGCTGTCATCGGTATGGTATTATTTGGGTCCCAAAGAATCTTTTTTCCAGAACTCTTATTCCTGTTGGATTCTTTTAGTGCTAAAGAAAGGCATATTGTTGTTACATACAATTTTATATTTGATATACAGCTCTATAAGAAACCGTTGTTTTGGTACTTACCATGGTTTCTAATTAGCAGGGATCAAAGACTTCATGTGTGAGCTCTGCGGAAAGACCTTTAGTGAGAGGAACACAATGGAAACCCATAAACTAATTCACACAGGTAAATGTTAGAATATTAATCCTAAAATAAAAATAGGTCTTCCTCATCTCTTACATTGTTCTGCCTTTTTTGATTCCATATTAATCAATTAATAAATGCCTGCTTCATACATTATTGTAATGTATTTTCTATAATGCCTACATTCCTTCTTCCCTGAACTGATGCTTCTGAGAAGTATTGTATTGCAATGTTCTGCTTTGCTGTTGATTATTCTTTCTAGGATTCCTGCAAGTTTAGTCCCCAAATATCAGGCAAATACCAAGTTGAGGAAGCTGTTCTGCTCCAAAAATGAGGAACTCACTGTCTTCCAGATGGTGTTAAATTAATATTCCCAAAATAACTAATCAGTGCCATTCTAAACTGAAGCTGCTAGGATTTATAATTCAGAATAGTTCACAGAGATTCCCTGTTCCATTTTTTTCACCATAAACTCATTAAACAGTGCTAAAATTGAAGTCCTCAGAAATTGAGCATTAAGAAGTGTGATTACATATTAATACAAAATATTTTGTTTTACTAATAGTGGGGAAGCAGTGGACATGTTCAGTGTGTGATAAAAAGTATGTCACAGATTACATGCTTCAAAAGCATATCCAGCTGACTCATGATAAAGTAGAAGCTCAGAATTGTCAACTCTGTGGGACAAAAGTTTCTACTAGAGCTTCAATGAGTCGTCACATGAGAAGAAAACATCCAGAGGTGAGTATAGTGGCAGATTAACAAATCAGAATTTTTGTTGACTTCCTCTGGGACACATAAGAACTATAGGTTCTTGTGCTGGGGCACTAATAGCAATCCAATAACTCAGGTCTCTTCAACCTTGGCAACTTTACCACTTGTGGACTTCAACTCCCAGAATTCCTCAGCCAGTATAAAGTCTCCAAGTCCACAAGTGGTAAAGTTACCAAGGTTGGAAAGCCCTGCAATAACTCACTTGTTTTCCTGTGGTGCTTATTAAGATGCTTCTCATCTCGACAAGGTTAATACATAATGCAGTGTAACTCTGCCCATAGTTAAAGACCACATGGACCATGGTTTTTAATTTGGGAGAAATAGAAAGCACTAATTCCTAACATTAGCAAGTTAAAATAGAAAGTCATCTTTTTCTGATATAATAATTAGGACACCTTTGTCTAAATATTCTGGTATTTTAAATTTTGTCTTTTTAATAAGAAGAGAAAGAACGACATACTTCAATGGATGTTCAAAATCTTTAAGACATACCTATCAAAAGAACCAACTTAGAGCATTTTTTTTATTTTGCATTTTTACAACCTTCATCCATAAGCTCTGGGACCAAAGGATACAATATTTTGTATCTACTTATAGTTCTATAGCCGACTTGGATGAAAACAATTCAGAGAGGAAAGGACCACAGAAAGTCATTGTGTTAATCAGTGGAAAGACCTTTTCCTCTCTTTTTTTACTACAGAACATTGGAATGGCTGTTAATGTTAGAACAAAGAAGAAATCAGGGCTGTTGGTTTCAGTCACAAAACAGACTGGATCCTTTTTTCTCTATCTTTCCTGTGTCTCCACAGCATTCTTTCTTACTGAGTGACTATCTTTCTACATAACTGCAAAATAATGTTGCTTTGATTATATTTTATTTTCAGGTTCTTTCAGTTAGGATTGATGATTTGGAGCCGCTGTCGGAGACCACAACTGTTGATGCTTCATCTATAGGAATTGTGCAGGTAAAATTCACGTGTAGTCAGATTAGCTGTCTAAAGAGAAAACCCATAGCTTGCAAAAAGAATTATCCAAGCATGCATGCTTGGGGGTTCTCAGGAGCTTAATCAGGAAACCTTTTCAGAATACAGATTTTTATCCTATGGATAGAGATTTTGCAAACTCAGTAGCAAAAACAAAATTCATTGCTTTTATACTAGGCATACATTTGGTGTCATACATTTTACCATTTGTTGAATAAGAATACCTGTATATTGATGCATCTTATGAACAATCATATGTATCTAAATTAAGGTCAATGGATCTGAAATTTCTAGAGATAGAGACTCTCATATTTCTCCATTTTAGATGAGAGACGTAGGCACTTCTTTGATGAGATACATACCGAGTTCAGTCACAGGAAAACCACAAATCTGTTACACTTTAAAAATCAGCAGTGTGTTGTGACTCTGACCCCCGAGCCCGTCTTATCGGAAGGAGAAGGCTCCGAAAGTGAAGGAGAGGAGTTGGCCAGGCCTCCCTCTCCAGGACCCTCCTCTCTGGCAATGCCTCAGGTGTCTCCCGAAGGAGAAGAGATTGGCCAGGAACCAGGTATCTCCGAGCAGTCGCAGTCGGACAGTGACGGAGATAAGTCTTAGCTGGATACACGCCAGCGTCGGAGAGACAAGCGCACGCAACAGAAAAGGAGGCATGCCAGAGATTAAGCTGAGTCACTGGACCACACCCCACAGGGGATAAAAGGGGGTGTGGTGGCCATTCAGGCTCTGTGACGGACAAAACTAAACAACTAGCGAGTCGCATTGTATCTCTGAAACTACGTTATCTGCCTGCCTTGGATTGAATATGGACTGGACTTGACAATTCTTTGGCTTTGTGTATTTGTTTTGGTTTATCTGATGGAGGAGGAATACCTCCCTCTGTGAGTAAAGTTCTTGGCAAGCAGCTACTGGGTTGCTGCCAATCCTGTTATTGAAGGAATTTATTGTCTGCAAGTTTTATTTAACCCCTGGCTGACTGTTTGTGTGCGTGTGTGAGATGGGGACAGAACACAGTGTTCTGTTACTTCATGGATTAGAGTATATTTACCATCTGCATTAAATATTTCCCTTGGTTAGCAGCTACTATAAATGCTAATTTAAACAAAAAATCTAAACAGTGGGGGCAGAAGGGTAGGAAATGCAACAGGTGTCATTTGTGATATTTTTATTTATTTCTTAGATTGATACTCTGCCTTCCCTTAGGGAGTTCAAGGCGGCAGTCATAACACTCCCTCCAAATTTCCCCCACAACTACCACCACCCTGGAAGGTAGTCTGGGCTGGAAAAACTGACCAGCCCAAAGTCACTCAGTGAGGCTCTATGACTGTGACTGAGGATGGACTTGAACCTTGGTCCAAATCCATCTCTTTAGCTACTACATCATATTGGCTCTCTTTCTATTAAAGTTCTATAATTATGTTTAATAGCTATTTCTATTCAGTCTCAAACATATATAAGATAGTTGAACACGATAATAATTTATAGTGGGGTAATTAGCCAGAATACAATTTTAGTAGCCTTTGTGCTATTTTAGTATGGGCAATGTCTTGGTTGAGTCCTAAACAAATAGAATCAAAGTTACTTATAATTTTCTAATCTTCCCATTTCAAATTAGAGTTTATCGTAAGGTTCATTTATTGAAATAAAGTACTGTAAATGAGAAAGGTGATACTGAATTTCATCACAATGTCTTCCTATAGCCAGATCTAGCTCTGGAACAAAGTGAATTACCAGAAGGGAAGCATACAAAGGCTCATAAACGAGGTCATAAACAGAAGCACAAACCTGGCGAAGAAGAGGAAACACAACTTCCTGAAGATTCTGCCTTCACTGAATATACAGAAAAAGAAGTGGAATTTACAGGAAATGTAGGAGATGAAACTAATTCAGCAGTGCAAAGCCTTCAACAGGCGAGTGCCACTTGCAAACCAAAAAATGGGATAGAAACTAAAAAATATGAGACTTATATCAAATATGTTAATGCGTAGCATTTACACAATGATGTTTAAGAATTTACAAATGGATTTGTAAATAGGCTTATAAGTAAAAGAAAGGAAGGGGAAATGAATAAAAATTAGGATTGTACGATACCGTGTATAAGTTCCCTTAGTGAATAAATTCACTCCACTCAGAGGAAATAATACATCTTTTGAGGAGGAAAAAAAAGTTTGCCCTCTGCCGAAATAGTCACTCTCGAAAAGGCCACATGCTGGATTTTATGTTCTGCTCAACTAGTTACTTATGTATTGAAATGAAAGATTTCTGTAATTCTGTTGCCACAGACATTCTCTCATTAGTCAGTTTTAGACTGCTGTAAAGCTCTACAGGAGTGGAGGCTATTAAAAATGGTTCTGACCTGGTACCTGATAAGGTTTTATGAATGGACTTGGGAGTTTTCCAGCTCATCTGTCATGATGCTGTTTAAACCCTGGGTAATGTTTGGACTACAGAAATAAGCCAGGTGGTGGACACCATTGTTCCAAAATGGCCTCTTCCTTCTTTCAGAGTTTACTGAACACTTTGGTTTATTAGGTGATGGATAAGAGCAGCCCACATGGTTCTGTGCAGATAGAAGAACTCATGTAACTAATTGAATCAAAACAGAATGAGCCTTTTTTTTAGACTTGTTTGAAATCTTATTCCATGGCAGTGGGTACAGAGAAGAGAGCTTATTTCTCTATTTCCATTGGGTCTGCACAGAAAAAGTTAATGAAGCTTATCCATAGTATGAGGCATTACTTCCATCATGATGTTGGGGGAGGAGAGCCAGAATATCAGTGTCTTGCTGTGAGCAATTTTCATTGTTCTTTACAGACAAATCACTGGATTCATTTCGGATGTCAGTATTGAGCTGAGTGTTGGGGAAGCAGTATATAAATATTTAAATATATAAATATATCTCTATCATCTCTATCTATCTATCTATCTATCTATCTATCTATCTATCTATCTATCTATCTATCCATCCATCCATCCATCCATCCATCCATCCATCCATCCATCCATCTTTCTATCTATCTATCTATCTATCTATCTATCTATCTATCTATCTATCTATCGCCTCCCTAACACTCAGCCCAATACTGATATCCAACTGAAATGAATCCAGTCATTTGTCTGTAATTTGCTTATGTGTCCAATTAAAGGTGCTGATTGTCACCTTTAAAGCCCTACATGGCCTGGGGCCAGATTATTTGAAGGACCAAGTTTTCCTAATCATATCTGACTGACCAAAGCAGGGAGGCAGGGGATGTTATGGGTCCCCTCTCTTAAGTAAACCTACCTACTGGAATCAAGCAGAACCATCTCCATGATGGTTCCCTCCCTGCAGAACATAATCCCTGTGGAAATAAGATTGGTCCTCACTTTGACACTCTTTTGAAAAGCCCTGAAGATATGGTTCTGCCAACAGACCTGGGGACTCCAGGTTGATACGGAGCCCATCAAGTAGTTGGTCTGATTGTTACTACCAGGATTGGGGTTTATTGGCTTTTGAATCATCATCCATTATTTTTGTAAACCACCCAGAGTCACTGTGAGTAGGACTGTCATATAAATTTTCTTAAATTAAATTAAAAATAGTGCTGGTTTCATAGAATAAAGGAATCCAAAATTAAACAAGTCACATTGAGGCTTTATGTGATGTGTTAATACATTCTCTAACACTTACACTTAACTGTTAACACTTGCAGTTAATTAAAGCTAATACCATATTATCTTATAGCATAATTATAATTTTCTGTAATACTTATAAAATTACCATTGACTCAAAAATAATCAGATCATTTTGGATGAGAAAATGTTTAAATTTCAGCTACAGACAGAAGAGAATTTGTGAAATAGGAAGAGGATCTTATTTCAATATATTAGCATTAGCATGAATTTTGCTTCACATTTTAATCGAAACCTGACTGGCTGAGTCTATTTATGAATTGCTAACATGATGAATATTTCCCAAGGAAATTTGTTTTAAATTTTCATTTTACTAGCATGAAGCATATTGAGTATTCAGTAATGCCTTTAGCCCTTAATGTAGTGATAAAGATCAGTCATAATCACATTTACCCAGTTTTTTGCTTCAGCATTAAATTATTCCATTCTGTCATATAATATGGCTTATATTTCCAATTCTAATAATCACCTTGATAATTTCAGTCCTGTCAGTGCTAATTTTCGTCCCTCTTTTTTCAGGTGGTGGTGGCCCTTGGAGATCCAAATGTGTCAGCTCCTTCTAGTTCTGTTGGTTTGACCAATATTAGTGTTACTCCAATCACTACAGCTGCTGGAACCCAATTTACAAATCTACAACCTGTGGCCGTAGGTCACCTTGCCACGCCTGAACGCCAATTGCAGTTAGACAATTCTATTCTCACAGTGACATTCGATACAGTTACTGGTTCTGCCATGTTGCATGGCAACCGCCAAAATGATATCCAGATACAGTCACAACCTGAGGCAACCAACCCCCCTTCAGTAGCTCATTTTATAAACCTAACAACTCTGGTGAACTCCATTGCTCCACTAGGGAGCCAAATATCAGAACAGCATCCCTTAACATGGAGGGCAGTGCCTCAAACTGACGTCTTACAGACTCAGGCCCAGCCATCCCAACAGACAGGACAACAGCAAGTTCAACCTGAACAGCAGCAGCAAATGTACAGCTACTAACTTTTACTTCAAAGAAGACAACCAACCTCTGAATGGGTTTGCAGAAGCCCATTGGACGCCAAACCTAAATCAATTGCTGGAAACCAAACATGGGGAATAAAAGGCTTACACTATGAGATATATGCTGATGTTAACCCAGAAACTGGAAATGCCAAGCCCTTTACAATTTCACTCTTAGAGAAATCATTGCTACTTTAGCAAATTATGGGTACTGTTAATAAGCAGCAGGAAATAGATATGAGGCAGGTTTTAGAAGAGCTGAGATCAATTAAGAAAGAGGTGGGGGTAAATGCAATTATACTGCTTTTAAAGCAGCAGCAGCAGAATGCTTCAATGTAAAGCTAGGATATGCCTGCCTGGGGTACAAGAGCCTAACTGAGCAAAAAAAAAAAAAAAAATTTTTTTTTTAAGTTTTGCTTTTGCTTCCATAGACCAATCCATTGCATCTAATGGAACAAAGTGGGTGGAAGTCGGGTGGGGTTAGTCTGTGATGTGATATGTGCTTCGTTTCATGTATCATTTCCATTATACTGATGGAGATACCACTCTACACATAAGACAACATGGTGTGTTACCTGAAATTAGATAGTCTAATGTTAAAGTAATATTTTATGGTCTCTTACATAATAAAATTAAAACCTGAATCCATCTCATGATCTAAATCTGTAATGAGATAATATATTTACAAAACTGCTTGCTAATTAAGTATAATGCTTATCTAATAGATGGAAAGCAGTTCTTCCCATTGAAATTGATTTGCCAGTTGGTCATTAATTCACCAATTTGTCTGTTCTATCATGTCATAAATATTTGGGTCCAGATGGGTGAAAGGTAATTTTTCCGTAATACCCTTCATATTTCATTCTGTGTTCCTGGCAGATATTTGCAAATTGAGGGACCCTTTCCAAACTGACATCATATATCCACTTGTATCATTCATAGCAACTGATAGGACGGTTCTGTTTCTGGAACCAAAAATGCATAGCAGCTTACTACCCAGGTGCAAATTAGAGTATAATATCCATTGCAGGTGATACTGACCACAAAAAGGTAGACTGAACAAAGGCTAAAGAAAAATATTTGTCTTAAGCAAAACATGGAAGAAAATTCATGTTATCCACTCAACTTAAAGGGAACATTTCTGAACCCTTACATGCTGTATCTGCTTGACGTTGTTAAATGCAAGTTCAGTCTATGTCATCTGTGTATGCTCATTAAATAAAAGAGAGTAGCCCAATGGTTGATGGGGAAAAAATTGAATAAACCTTGCCTTTGCCTTTGTGAACAGTACTTTTTTCTAGGCAGGTAGTGAGGAACATATGTTTAAACTATTGCCTACAAATTGACCAATGATTTTCTTAAACCTGTTTCTGATAACAAATGGATTTTGCTATTAACAAGGAATATTTTCTAACGTTAGTATATTAAGTGCTTGGATTATAAAAATTGAGAATCAGTTAAGTCTAAGGAAATACAAATGAAACTGGCAACTAAATATTTATTTTGTGGAGGATCTCTTCAGAATACTTTGTTGTTGTTGTTCAGAATACTTTTGTTTATTTTGTTTCCTGTACCGAGCAGAAGTTAGACTTGATCCATGACTCCTCCTCAGTGATTAGAAAAACCATACATTACATTAATTTCTCAATGGAAACTGGCTAGCACAAAGTTTTATGTAACACCTTTCCAAGAAGGCTGAAAAAAGATGCAGCGAAGCATTTTATATATGTATATAGTCCTAGGTCAGGGGATATGGGCAACAGTATGCTAATTTGCAAGGTGGTCTCTATATTAGCGGTCTTAGCTTGCATAAATTAGGATAAGCTTGAAAGCAGGGCTTTGGCTGCATTTATGGCATAGTGGTCAAAAAGTTGCAGAATTAACCAGAACAGTCCTTAGTGTTAAAAGGAAATACTGTACGTGGTACAAATAAAGATAGTAACCTAGGTTGCAGCTTTTTTATCTTACTTAAAAAATTACACAAATGCCTTGATTGATCAAGGTTACATTAAGTAGTGAAACTATTATCTGTAGGTCCCTAACTTACTCATTTATTTCATTCTGCATAATATAAAATGGAATAGCATGAAGGTATGTTTATGTAGACATGTATGCTACAATAAGGTTATAATGCAGTAAGTGATAGCTGGTAACAGAAACCAAAATACATGCCACAAGGCTTTTCCCTTCACAGGACAGTGAGAATCCCTAAGGACCATACGTTGTAAGTTACAATTTTGTCACCAAGCAAACTTCAGTCAGATGCTATTTTAGAAGTCCCATGACTTCTGAGTCCTATGGGAGAAGGGTGGCATATAAATTACATACATACATACATACATACATACATACATACATACATACATAAAGGTTCTGCAAGTTACACCAAATTCTGATTTGATAAATTTATGGAGAACAGCATCAAACAGTGATTCATTAAGAAAATTAATTTGGTCACTTTTCAATTTTCATTTCCATTGGTTAAATAACAATTACTTAAGAAAATATTAAACCAAACTTATTTCACAACTATGAAGAGTGTATCAACATTTGGAATGCATAGTTGCATTCCCTAATGTATCTGATCTCCTGAAATTTATAGCCACTGGATATCAGAAAGCCATTCCTGTTCAGCATCAGAGAGAAATTATTATCTCCATATTATTCATTTATAAAAATTCTATCATAAAGTAATTCCAAGGAATCTTTAATTCCCCAGAAAAAGATAATTTGCACAATAATTTCAAAAAAATTATTGATACAATTTGGTAGATTTAAAATGGCTTTACTCCAAAATTTTATAGTAGTATATTCATATAATGGATTTTGATGCTATAGTTCATGAAACAGGGACCTGCAGTAAATGGTTATTGGCCATTTTGGAAAATGGCTTTCATAGACTTCTGTTTGCCCATCCATTTTTGAAATGCAAAGTGATGTCTTCTGTATTATTTGGAGTGGAAACTATCAGTAATCCATGTGGACGTCTAATACAATAACCAGACAGCCACATTGCTAGTAATGCATTAATAAATGCAATACATTCATGAAAAAGCGAAAGACAATTTAGTTATTCTCTGCTGTGTCTTTGATGGGATTTTCCCCCTAATGAAGGTTAAAAGATAATACATTATTGTCTCACTTGCTGAAGAAATGTGCTTTTAAAAATATATAGCCAACACTCTGGCTTTTCTCTGTTTAAGCTGTGCTTTGTAGTTCTTATGAAAATGATTCTTTCAGAGATAAGTTTTGACAGAGTTTTCTTAGTCCTCTAGCAACATATGTCAGGACCAAATTAAGAGGTAGCCCTTCTAGTCACAGTTCATCTCAGTCATACTTTTGTATATTTATACAAAGTCAGCTTATTGCCCCCACAAACTGGGTCCTCAATTTACCTACCTTAGAAAGGATGGAAGGCTGAGTCAACCTTGAGCCTGGTGAGATTCGAACTTACAGTAATTGCAGACAGCTGGTGTTAATCACAATGCTATCAGTCTGCTGAGCCACCAGGCCCTATTAAAATAGTCTTTATTTTAACTCTGATTGTTGAGCTTATTTCATTACTGAGTATAGATGTAGACCAACCTCCTCCGACCTATCAGGCTATTCATAAAGATAAACTCCAATTGATCACTTCTCCTATCCAAATGCTTACCAAGTCTAACTCTGCTTAGCTTTTGAGATCACCAAAGCTAAGGTTGGCTAGGTCTGCCATCTAGCTACAGAAGAGAATCTTCAGGAATGGTTCCAGCTCCAGCTGGTTTAGCAACCCAAGATTGACAAGGCAAGGAAGTTTGACATTGCACAGAATTTTGATTCTGTAATTTTTCTCTCTCTGATAAAAAGAACAGACAGAAAAAATGCATAGGATTGCCAACTCCTGTTGAAACCACTTCTGTAAATTGTTCCATTGCCAGTAAATATATTTGTTAATTCTAGTATGTAATTGTATAACAAACCATTATTTATTTATTTATTTATTTATTTATTAGATTTTTATACCGCCCCCTCTCCCGAAGGACTCGGGGCGGTGAACAGCCAAAGTTAAAAACATACAATATAAACAATTAAAAATACGTTTAAAACAGAATTAAATCTAAAATGGCTCCCCAATTTAAAATGCCTTACCCATACCCCTATAAAAAGACGAATTTAAAATTTAAAAATTTAAAATTTCCACATTTCAAAAGGGGGAAGATTTAGGCCAGGCCAGCTTGATAAAATAGAAAGGTCTTAAGCGCGCGGCGGAAGGTGCGCAGATCCGGGATCCTACGTATCTCCGGGGGGAGCTCGTTCCAAATCGTAGGTGCCCCCACAGAGAAGGCTCTCCCCCTAGGGGCCGACAGCCAACATTGTTTGGCCGACGGCACCCGGAGGAGCCCCTCTCTATGGGAGCGTACTGGCCGGTGGGAGGCTATTGGTGGTAGCAGGCAGTCCCGTAAATAACCAGGTCCTAAGCCATGGAGCGCTTTGAAGGTGATAACCAGAACCTTGAAGCGCACTCGGAAGACCACCGGGAGCCAGTGCAGCTCACGCAGGAGAGGTGTCACATGGGAACTCCATGTCGCTCCCATCACTACCCGCGCGGCCGCACTCTGCGCCAGTTGGAGCCTCCGAGTGCACCTCAAGGGGAGCCCCATGTAGAGAGCGTTGCAGTAATCCAGACGAGAAGTAACGAGGGCATGAGTGACTGTGTGTAGGGAGTCCCGATCTAGATAGGGACGCAACTGGCGAATCAGGCGAACCTGATGAAAAATCCTCCCGGACACGGCCGTCACATGCTCTTCTAACGACAGCCGTGAATCCAGGAGGACACCCAAGTTGCGAGCCCTATCCGTGGGGGCCAATGATTCGCCCCCAATAGTCAGCGATGGCATTAGCTGACTATATCGGGACGTCGGAAACCACAGCCACTCGGTCTTGGATGGGTTGAGCCTGAGCCTGTTCCTCCCCATCCAGATCCGTACGGCCTCCAGGCACTGGGACATCACTTCAAGGGCATCGTTGGGGTGGTCCGGGGTGGAGATGTACAGCTGGGTGTCATCCGCGTACTGATGGTGCTTCACCCCAAAACCACGGATGATCTCGCCCAGCGGCTTTACATAAATGTTGAACAAAAGGGGCGAGAGGATCGATCCCTGCGGCACCCCACATATGAGGGGCCTCGGGGTCGACCTCTGCCCCCCTGTCAACACAGACTGCGACCGGTCGGAGAGAAAGGAGGAGAACCACCTTAGTACGGTGCCTCCCACCCCCAACTCTTCCAACCGGTGCAGCATGATACCATGGTCGATGGTATCAAAAGCCGCTGAGAGATCTAACAGGACCAGGACAGAGGAGCAGCCCCTGTCCCGAGCCCTCCAGAGATCATCAACCAACGCGACCAATGCCGTTTCCGTGCTGTATCCAGGCCTGAAACCCGACTGGAACGGATCCAGATACGACGCTTCATCCAGGTACTGGGGAAGCTGTCCCGCAACCACACTCTCAACAACCTTCACCACAAAACGAAGGTTGGAGACTGGACGATAATTAGCCAATATTGCCGGGTCCAGGGAAGGCTTCTTGAGGAGGGGCCTCACCACCGCCTCCTTAAGGGCGGCGGGGAAGACACCCTCACCCAATGAAGCATTTATAATCCCCTGGAGCCAGCCTCGCGTCACCTCCCGGGAAGCCAGCACTAACCAGGAGGGACACGGGTCCAACAAACATGTGGTCGCGTTCAATCTACCCAGAATCCTGTCCACGTCATCTGGGGTCACAGGATCAAACTCATCCCAGATAACAGTCTCAAGACCTGTCACTCTCGCTGGATCTACCCAGTCAGAGTCCAGACCTTCCCGAATCTGAGTGATTTTGTCATACAGATACTGAACAAAGTCCTCGGCTCTTCCCTCCAAGGGGTCCTCCCACGCTTCCTGGTGGAGCAGGGAGCGGGTCACCCTAAACAGGGCGGCCGGGCGATTATCTGATGACGCAATAAGAGCAGCAAAATGCATACATTTTGCTGCTTTTATCGCCACTAGGTAAGTCCTAATATGGGATCTAACCAGTGTCCGGTCCGATTCAGAAAGACTAGCTCTCCAACTACTCTCTAGGCGTCTTTTCCGGCGCTTCATCTCCCTCAGCTCCTCGGTAAACCAAGGAGCCAGGCGAGATCCGCGCCGGGTCAGAGGCCACAAAGGCACGACTCGATCCAGGGCCCCAGCGGCCGCCCTATCCCAGGCGGCCACTAGGTCTCCAGTCGAGGCGTGAGCCAGAACCTCAGGAATTGGCCCAAGCTCC